CATTTCAGAACGTGAACTAAAGAGGGCTGCTCTGGTATGATGACATACACCTGTGATCCCAGCAATGAGGAGGCTGAGGCAGGGGGATTGCTTGGAGTTCCAACACAGACTGAACTCATAGTGACTTCCAGGCCAGCTTGGGTTGCAGAGGGAGACTGTCTCAAAAACAATTAACAAATATTTTATGTGTATGAGTGTTTTTGCCTGCATATATGTATGTGCACTGTGTATGTGCCCGGTGCCTGCAGAGACCAGAAGAGGGCACTAGACCCTCTGGAATTGGACCTACCCATGTGGGTGCTGAGAACTGAGCCTGGATCCTCTTCAAGAGCAGCCAGAGCTCTTAACTGCTGAGCCATCTCTCTAGGACCCTGATTTATTTATTTACTTATTTATTTATTTCTGTACTGGGGATGGAATTCAGAGCCTTCTGCCTGCTAGGTAGACACTCTAGCACTGAGCCACATTCGCAGTCCCTCATTGGTGGATTCTAGGCACGTGCTGTACTGTCGAGCCACGCCCTCACCCTCTTTAGGAGGCAGGTCTCCCCAACAGTTGCCCAGGCTGGCTTTGAACTTGTGATCCTCCACTCTTAGCCTCCCAGAGAGCTGGAATTACAGATGTAGCCATCGGGCTGGCTTCGAAGTTGTTTCTGACTAATAATCCTCAGGACAGAGCTATCTAAACCTTCGGGCATCTAGAGATCCTGGAAGCAGACAGAAACCAGGCAAGGTGGCCTCCCTGTGTCCCTGTTTCCCCTCCCAAAGGGCAAACAAGCAGTTTGTTATACCTCAGTTATACCTCATACCTCAGTTCTTAAAAAACACTGTAGGACGAGGTTGAGGATGGTGTGGTAGCTGACCCTCAGAGGGAGAGAGGAGAGCTGACACCCAGGCCAAAAGCCAGAGGTGATGTGGGGGTTGGGGTGGGATGGGGCATGGGTAAGCAAGGCTTGTAGACCCCTGAGAATCCAGTGAGCTACTCACAGATCCAGAATAGCTTCAAGGAGAGATTCCAGCCCTCCTGAAACAAATGCACAGGCTGGAGGGGAGAGAACCTCTCAGCTGCCCAGCTCAGGGACAGGTGTTAGAAGCAGGATGGTGGTGAGGAAGAGGCCAAGGGTAGCCTGGGAAGGCCCCCAAGGGGGTGGGTGGGACTTTTCAGGGCAGCCAGCTGGAGTGGCCAGCTATTGAGATGTCTCCAGTAGCAGACACGTAAACGTTGGCCAGCAATCAGGTTGTCCACTCATTCAGACAGTGTATTGCACACGGTGACCTGGGCTGTTTAATGCAATGCACAGTTGGATTCAACCGCCCTGAAGTAAGGACCTAAAACATGTGTTTCGCCGGGCGGTGGTGGCGCACGCCTTTAATCCCAGCACTTGGGAGGCAGAGCCAGGCGGATCTCTGTGAGTTCGAGGCCAGCCTGGGCTACCAAGTGAGTCCCAGGAAAGGTGCAAAGCTACACAGAGAAACCCTGTCTCGAAAAACCAAAAAAAAAAAAACAAAAAACCAAAAAAAAAAAACATGTGTTTCTTGCCTGTTCCCAGGGCCTGACAGGTAATGCCATGCTTCAGGAAGGCAAACAATAGGGAACGAAGAGACATGCATGCCAGCCGAGCCAGCTGTGGTAGTACACATCTGTCACTCCGGTCTTGAGGAGACTGAGGCAGGAGCATCTCCAGTTTGAAATGAGCTGTACTGTACTTGTACTGAGACAAAGGGCAATGCCAGCCCTTACGCTTCCATTTTAATAAGGAGAAGCAGACAGCACACTTTATAAGCAAAGTGTTTGGTGCAGTGGCTGGTGATAGGCAGTAGGAGAAAAACCAGTGAGGATTGAGTTTGGGTTCTGTTGTGTAGAAGCTGTGGGCTTGCATCAAGGCCTCCCAGAGGCGATCTCTGAAACAATCCTGGAGGAGGGAAAGGGTGAGCCCCGGGGTGGGTGAGGAACAGTGTTTTAGACAGGGAACATTGAGTGTGATGGCCTTGAGGACCGAGTGACACAACCCATGTCCAGTGAGTGTGGGCAGTCTGGACAGCATTGCCTCAGCGCTCAGTCTGAAGAGCAGAGCAGCTGCCTAGCCTTTCTCTGCCCGAGCTCCCTTCCTCATCCTTGACGGCCGGGCTGGGCTGGAGAGGTAGCTCAGCGTTAAGAGCACTGGCTTTTGCAGAGGGCCTGGGCTTGGTTTCCAGCAGCCATGTCAGCTGGCTCTGACGCCCTCTTTTGACCTCCTTGGGCACCCTTACCTGTGCACACACCTACATGTAGACACACATACACAGAAAGGAAGAATGAACACAGTATGGGGAGATGGCTTAGTCGGTAAAATGCCTGCTGGGCAAGCCCGAGGACCTGGGTTCAGATCCCCAGCACCCACCTAAGAAGCCCGCCCGGCACAGCGGTGTGCCTCTGTGACCCCAGAACCAGGAGGATGGCAGGCAGAGACATTTGGAGTCGGTCCTCATTGGCCACCTCATCAAGCTATGACTGAACTTAGGTTTCAGTGAGATATCCTGCCTCAAAAACCACGTACAGCCTGTGGTGGTGGTGGTGGTGGTGGAGGCAGCGCATACCTTCAATCCCAGCAGTAGAGAGGCAGAAGAAGGAGCATCTCTGTGAGTTCAAGCCCAGCCTGGTCTACAAAGTGAGTTCCAGGACAGCCACGCCTTTTACACAGAGAAACCCTGTTTCGGGGTGGGGGAAGAGAAACATGTGCTGAGTGATTGAGTAAGACACCTGGTGTTGATCTTTGTCCACTATACACACTCATGTGCATTTTCAAGCACACTTACACACTCCCACACAGACATATATGCCATACAAAGACCCCCAAATAAAGACACAAAAATGAGACACATTGGGTATGGAGCATGCGTGGGCTGCCAATGCTTAAGAGGCTGAGGCAGGAGAATTAAGAGTTGGAGGCCAGGCTGGACTATAGAGAGAGAAGATGTGGGAATTAAATGGGTTAATTTTAAGTGCTGCTAACTGCATAGTGTATTTATGTTGCCTTTGAGTGGATGTCTTTCCCCTTCCCTGTGAGCTATTTCTGGTGAGCCCAATGTCATGTGTGTAGCCTATGCATCCAGGACCAGCCCGCAGGAGGATCTCTGTACATCAGGGTGTGGGAATGTGCATTCTCTAATTATTGGGGGCACTTAATGAGGGTGTAGAGTGTGGGGCTCTACTCCTATCAGCTTTGCTTTCTCAGGCAGCCTCCTGTGATAGGTGTGTTTGTGGTTCCCATTAAAATTGTGGATTACAGGGTTGAAGAAATGGCTTAGCCACTAAGAGCATCTGCTGCTCTTCCAGAGGACCTGGCTCACAGGTGCCTGCAACCCTAACACCCTCATCTGGACTGTGGACACTTGCACTCGAATGCGCATACACACACACACACACACACACACACACACACACACACGCTTTAAAAGTAATAAAAATAGGGCCGGGCGGTGGTGGCGCATGCCTTTAATCCCAGCACTCGGGAGGCAGAGCCGGGCGGATCTCTGTGAGTTCGAGGCCAGCCTGGGCTACCAAGTGAGTTCCAGGAGAGGCGCAAAGCTACACAGAGAAACCCTGTCTCGAAAAACCAAAAAAAGAAAAAAGTAATAAAAATAAATCCTTAAAACTGTAAGCTCCTGTGGAAAAGTCGTGCCCTTACCCGCTGAACCATCTCTCCAGGCACCTGCACTGCACTGAAAGCACAGGCCAGAAACAATGCAAGGTGTCTGAAATTTTAAGATAACTTAAAAGTCATTGTTGAGTGACTTCCTGTTGCTTTCCTGTAGTGAGTGCAGAGGTTTGGGGAGCCTTGTAGGAAAGACTGGACAGGTCCTCATGGCCAGTTACCTTAGCCTTGAATTCCAAGTCCAGTGACTGTGGGGACCGGTACAGGGTTAGCATCTGTTCTTTGGTTTTTGCATTTGGCCTTTGAAACAAGGTTGACACAGCCCAGGTTCTCTTTCCTAAATGCTAGCTTTCCCCCAACCCTTTTTAATACGTAGGTGTTTTGCCTACATGTGTGTCTGTGGACTTACGGGCGGTTGTGGGCTGCCCTGCGGGTGCTGGAACCGAACCCAGGTCCTCTGCAACAGCAGCCAGTGCAAGTGCCCTTAACCGCTGAGCCGTACCTCTAGCCCCGAGTTTGCCTGTTTGTGGATTTGGGGGATTTGTTGTTATTGCTGTTGTTTTGCTTGTTCTTGCGTTTTTGTATGATTTTATTTTTATTTTACGAAAGTCTGACACTATATAGCCCAGGCTGGCTTAAAACTTCTGCCTCAGCCTCCCGGACTACTGGAATTACAGGCGTTGAGGTGTCACACCCGGCTTGCCTGTTTGTTTAAAAGGCGAGGTGACTAAGGCTGCGGGTGTCACACCGAGAAACCTCTCCATCCCCACCAGAACTAGTAACCAAAGCCAGATTCTCGGACCGTCCCCTACGCGCCTCTTTCTGCCGGGGGACTGGCGGACTCCAGTCCCCGGCCGCGTGGCCCTTTAAATCTCTAGCGTCAATCAGGACTCGGGTTTCAAGGGAACGTCGGGTAGTACTCCTCCCCTTGAATGCGGTGGCTAGTTCCCGGGTTCCCCATTCGGCAGTCCTGGACTTCAGGAATTTGTCCCCACTCCCTCACGTCGGGCTGTTTCCATCCCGCCCGCCCCCTCCCGTCACCTCACGCCTACTCCTCCTGTTTTCCAAGTCGGGCCCCTTCGCCAGGGCCTTCCTTATATGGGCACGGCTCTGAACCGCGGCCGCTCATTGGCCGGGGCCGTCACGCGCGCGTCTGTCAACAAAGGGGCGGGGCGGGGCGCGCGGCGCGCCAGCCCGCGCGAGGGGGCGGGCCCGCGGGGCTCCGGTGCGCATGCTTGCGGGCGGCCATTCTCCTTGCCGCCTAGGGGAGGCGCTGCGGGTAAGCGCGCCTGGGGGGGGCGTGTCCGGGTCTTTATCGGAGGGGGGTCACCTGAGGGGGTCGGGAGGTTCCCTCGAGAAGGAGGCGGGTCCGGGGTTTGGGGGCGCCGTTCGCATCTAAGCGATTATTTGAGCGCTTGGGAAAGTTGCGGGGGTGGAGGGGATACTTTAGGGTTCCCGGGAGCTTAAGAAACGCCTTGGGTTTGGGTTGTTTTGTAGTGTGGGAGGCTGGGTTGTGTTTTAGAGGTGTCCTTTGTGGTTCGGGGTGTCCGGTGGGCACAGGATGCCTGGCCTTGAGTACTTCCTACCTGGGTGACCAAGGACAGGAGGGCGCTTCCCTTCCTGTGGCCCATCTGCAAACAGGAGCTGCGGAGACTGCCGGCCTCCCAGGCCCCGCAGAGCCGCGATTGTCGGAGCAGTGCCTAGGAAGCCTGCTGGAGCGTGCGGGACACGTGTCTGCTGTTGTACCACTCGAGGTTCCATTAGGGACTGTTGACATATTTGTTTGGCTTGGGGTTCGTTTTAAATAGGGTGTTTTTATGTCTGAGTTCTTTCAAGGTTCGGGAGCTTCTGGGGAATGAAGGGGTAGAATAAGGATCGGTGTCTGGAATGAGCGGAGGATGTCAGGAGACCCACTGAGTCACCTGTGAGATTCGGGTATTGTTGTGTATCTTCAGATGTGTGAAAAGTTACTTGTGATTTGGCTTCTCCGTGCTGGAGGGCGTATTGATTTATTATTTTGATTTTTTTTTTTAAGTTTTGTGTGTATGGTTGTTTTGCCTGTGTGTGTATATCTGTGCACCACATACCTGTCTGTTGCCGTGGAGACTAGATGGATCTTAAGGAGCTGGAGTTACAGAGAGCCACTCTGGGTGCTGGGAACCATACTTGGGTCCTCTGCAAGAGCAGCAAGTACTTTTAACTGCTGAGCCGTCTCTCCAGCTCCCAATATTATTTATTTATGAGACAGGGTCTCTAGGTAGCTCTGGCTGGCCTAGGACTAGATACATAGACCAGGATGGCTTTGAACTCAGAGATCCACCTGCTTCTACTTCCCAAGTGCTGGGATTAAAGGCCTGCGCCTCTTTGATTTTTTTGGGGGCAGGGTCTTTTTATATAGACCCCCTGTCTCATATCCCAGCCTCCCAAGTGCTGGGATTACAGGCATGTGCCACCAGGCTTAGTAGGGTCTTGAGGAGGAGGTTGGAATTTTAAAGTAGAATTTGAAAAAGTCAGGATACTTTGAGGGTAAACATGAAGATTCCGGAAATAAGGGTGGGGTTGGGTAAGGATTCTTAAGATCAGGGTTCTATTACTGGTGATGGTGTTTGGAGGCTGATTTTGAATGGCATCTGCAGGACCATGAAGTAATAGTGTGTCAGATTTGCCTGGATATAGAGCAGGCAGTCTATCCTACAACATCACCTAACTTTTTCTTTTCTATTTTTTTTGGGGGGAGGGCATGGGATTGGGTTGGTTTTGTTTTGTTCTTGTTTGGTTGGTTGCTTTTTCGAGACAGGGTTTCTCTGTTTAACTTTGGAGCCTATCCTGGAAATTACTCTGTAGACCAAGCTGGCCTCAAACTCAGAGAAATCCGCCTGCCTCTGCCTCTGCCTCTGCCTCCCGAGTGCTGGGATGAAAGGCGTTTAAAGGTGATCTCCACCAAGCCTGGCCTCTTGTTTTTGTTTTTGTTTTTTGTTTTTTGTTTTTGAGACAGGGTTTCTCTGTGTAGCCCTGGCTGGCCTGGAACTTGCTCTGTAGACCAGACTGGCCTCGAACTCACAGAGAATCATCTGCCTCTGCCTCCCAAGTGCTGGAATAAAAGGCATACACCACCACCTCTGTCCAGCAAGCTAACTTTTTATTTATTATGTATACAGTGTTCTGCCTGAATGTATCCCTGCAGGCCAGAAGAGGGCACCAGATCTCATAGTTGGTTGTGAGCCACCATGTGGTTGTTGGGAATTGAACTCAGGACCTCTGGAAGAACAGCCAGTGTTCTCAACCTCTGAGCCATCTCTCCAGCCCAGCTAACTTTTTCTATAAAAGACTAGGTAATGAATTATTTCAGGCCATACAATCATTGATGCAGCTCTGCTCTTTTGGGATGAAAGCAGCCATAATTTGTTTCTGTAAAATTTAATTTACAGTCAGTGGGCTGGGCTTAATTCTTGGCATGTAGTTTACTTACCTCTCTGTTCCATTGGGATGGATATTCAGGGTTTATTTTGTGAAGGGTTATTTTCTTCTTTGTTTTCTTTTCCTTTTATTTATTTGTTTGTTTCTTTTTAGACAAGGTCTGGCTGTGTAGCCCAGGCTGACCTGGAACTCTCCATCTTTTTGCCTCAGCCTCCTCAGATCTGGGATTGTAAGCACGCATCACCATGCCCTGTTGGAGGGTTGTTTTCATGTTGAGATGTCTGGAAGGAGATGGGCCAAAGATGGAGACTAGGCATCTGCTGCTTACTGGTAAGTAAAAAGTGAAACAGAAAGTGCTGCCATCAAACTCAGTAACAAAACTGCCTCTAGATTAGCTGATGTGTACAAAGTCATGCAAAACCAAAAAGAGAAGTCATTATTAAGGGTGCTCTCAAGTGATGCTACAGCTCAGGCCTGTGATCCTGGGCACCTGGGGGGCTGAGCAGGTGCATTGCTAGGATCCTGACAGCCAGGGCTCAAGAGTGAGATCCTGTCTCAGAGAATCACCCCAAAAAGCTGAGTATAGTGACTCACACTTGTAATCCCAGGGTGAAGCAAGAGGATTGGCTTGCTGTGAGTTCAAAACCAGCCTGGGCTGCAGTGAGGCCCTGTCTTAAAAAGAAAAAGAACCATCATCATCATATTTAAGAATCCCATGACCCAAAACAAGTGGAGAATGAATTTCTTTTCCTTTTTCTTTCTTTCTTTCTTTTTTTTTTTTTTTTTTTTTTGTTTTGTTTTGTTTTTTCGAGACAGGGTTTCTCTGTATAGCTTTGTGCCTTTCCTGGAACTAGCTTGGTAGCCCAGGCTGGCCTCGAACTCATAGAGATCCGCCTGCTTCTGTCTCCCGAGTGCTGGGATTAAAGGTGTTCATCACCACTACCCAGCCAAGAATGAATTTCTTTCTTTTTTTTTTTATTATTTTATTTATTTATTTTTTAAGATTTATTGATTGATTGATTGATTGATTGATTTTGTATGCAATATTCTGCCTACATGTGTCCCTGCAGGCCAGAAGAGGGCACCAGATCTCATTACAGATGGTTGTGAGCCACCATGTGGTTGCTGGGAATTGAACTCAGGACCTCTGGAGTTAAGAGCATTCGGTGCTCTTCACCGCTGAGCCATCTCTCCAGCCCCCTAGAATGAATTTCTTAAGGGTCTGTCTGTTTCTGGCTTCAGATTTTCCTCCCTTGCCTAGTTACCTTACCCCTCTGTGTGCCCTAGCAGCTGTGGACAAGGCTGGGCATGTCTGCCTTTTCAGGAACTGGCTACTAAAGGTACAAGTATAAGGAGGAGGAGCTTGGTCCAGCTGGTACTTTCACTGAGGGTTAAAGGTTAGGCCAGGTGTGGTAGCGAATGCCTTTAGTCCCAGCACTCGGGAGGCAGAGGCAGGTGGATCTCAGAGTTCCAGGCAAGCCTGGGCTACAGAGTGAATTTCAGGACACCCAGGGCTATACAGAGAGACCCTGTCTCAAAAAAACTAAAAAATAAATAATAAAGGTTAAAGGTCGGCAACAGGAGGCCTCTGGACTGTAAGCAAAGGCATTTTGGCTGCATCCCTCTGCTTCCCTGATGTGTGGCTGGGATAGAGTTTTGTTTTCTTGGCCGTGCTAGGGACACAGTCCAGCCTTCTAGAGAGACTGCCGCTCAGCCACATCTCAAACCCCTCACCAGGTGAAGTCAGGCAAGTGCTGTGACTGTACTCTAGAGCCATGCTCCCAGCCCTTTACTGGGGGGTTCTGGACAGTGGCTCTTCCTAGTGAGCCACGCCTCTAGCCAGAGAAGAGCGTGTGTGTGTGTGTGTGTGTGTGTGTGTGTGTGTGTGTGCGCGCGCGCGTGTGTTAGAGATGGGTCTGGTGGAGCCCGGGGTGGCCTCACCCCCTGCTCTCACGCTTCCCTCCCTCGCTCCCTCGCTCCCTCCCTCCCTCCCCCCACCTGGGTATATATAGGCCTGCACCACTCGACCGTCTGGGACACAGTTCTCAGTGCTCTAATGTCATCTGTCCCTTGTGCAGAACTTAAGACTGGGTGGCCTTGGGAAGAGAGGCAGTGACTTCAGTGCTCTGTTGTTGGCTGTTTTTATATTCTCTGCTCTTTGGGGGCCCACCACCCAGCTCCCAAATAATACACAGAGGCTTATTCTTACTTGTGAATGCTCAGCCTTAGCTTGGCTTGTTTCTAGCCAGCTTTTCTTAAATTATCCCATCTACCCCCTGGGCTTTTACCTTTCTCTGTTTCTGTATACCTTCTTTTACGTCTTACTCTGTGGCTTGCTGAGTAGCTACGTGGCTCGCCCCTGGAGTCCTCCTCTCCTCCTTCTCTTGCTCCCGATCTTTTCTCTTTCTCAGATTTCTCCTGTTTATTCTGGCAGCCCCACCTATCTTTCTCCTGCGTAGGTATTGGCCATTCAGCTCTTTATTAGACCATCAGGTGTTTTAGACAGGCAAAGTAAGAGTTTAAACAAATGCAGTATAAAAGAATGCAACACATCTTTTTTTTTTTTTGGTTCTTCAAGACAGGGTTTTTCCGTGTAGTTTTGGTGCCTTTCCTGGATCTCGCTCTGTAGCCCAGGCTGGCCTCGAACTTAGAGAGATCCACCTGCCTCTACCTCCCAAGTGCTGGGATTAAAGGCATGCGCCACCACCATCCGGCAACACATCTTAAAATAATATTCCACAACAGTGCTCCACCTTCTATGTCTCCAGGTGGCATGTGGCGCTCCCTACCACCATCCTGGTCCTGAGATTCAGTGGCTGCCTGCTGTTTGCCATCACCTCCCAGCATGGACAGGGGCAGCCTCCTGCCCTTCCAGCTCTGGTGCCCCAGGCCCTTTGGAACATATTCCCAGAACCAGCCACGCCCGCCTTCCGCTGCCCTCAAGCCTCCAGCCTGCTCTGACACAAGCAGTGGGACTGAGCCTGACCATGGACCTGCACACTCAGAGAACACACCACCTGCCTTGGCTGCAGAAGCCCCCACCTCCCAGCATGCTCCACTCCTCTCTTCAGCAGCTGCTGGCGATGAGGGTCGAGTTCTGCTGGACACGTGGTATGTAATCAAGCCTGGAAATACAAAGGAGAAGGTGGCCTTCTTCGTGGCCCACCAGTGTGGTGGAGGTAGCCGGGCTAGCTCTATGAAGGTCAAAGGGCACTGGGGCAGTGATAGCTCCAAAGCCAAGAGGAGGAGGCGCTGCCTTGAGCCCACCAAGGCTCCTCCAGACCCAGGGGGCAGAGGAGGAGCCCCTGCCACCGAGGGGGCGCCCACGGCATCCGGGGATGATGTAGACCTGCTCTCCGTAGCAGAAATGGTGGCTCTGGTCGAACAGAGAGCCGCCCTGGCCCTGCAGAGTTACCCACGCCCCACTACCCCAGCTCCGGTGGTCTTTGTGTCAGCTGAGCAAGGAGGACCAGCCAAGGGCTTGGGGTCAGAGAGGCGGTCTGGTGGTGGTGACTGCAGCCGAGTGGCTGAGGCAGTGGCCCACTTTGAGGCCCAGCGGGACAGCCCTCCAACCAAGGGTCTGCGCAAGGAGGAGCGGCCAGGCCCCGGGCCTGGTGAGGTGCGTATAGCTTTCCGCATCTCCAATGGCCGAGAGCCCCGTTCACCAGATGGCAGTTTACCTACTTGGAGCGGAGGCCGGCCTGGTAGTCCCTACCCTGGTAGTCCTGGGCCTGGGGCTCGAGCCAAAGACAAAATCACTTGCGACTTGTACCAGCTCATCAGCCCCTCCAGGGATGCCCTTCCCAGCAACATGGAGTTCCTCCTGGCCAGGGCAGACGAAGCCAGTGAAGGTGAGACGCCAGCCCCGGCCAGGCCTGAGGATACTCCCCCAGCACCCCCTCCACCCCCTGCCCGAGACTGTGGAGCGTCAGGATTCCATGTGGATGTGGTGGTGACAGGTGTAGTGGACGAGTGCATCTTCTTTGGCAAAGATGGCACTAAGAACGTGAAGGAAGAGACTGTCTGCTTGACAGTGAGCCCCGAGGAGCCGCCCCCACCTGGTCAGCTCTTCTTCCTCCAGTCCCGGGGTCCAGAAGGGCCACCTGAGCCACCCCCAGCTGATACACCAAGCCTAGTGCCAGGCCCTGACGATCCTGAGGGCACAGCAGACACCTCCCTGTGCCGCCTGTACCGGCACGTGTCGCATGACTTCCTGGAGATTCGCTTCAAGATCCAGCGTCTTCTGGAGCCACGGCAGTACATGCTGCTGCTGCCTGAGCATGTGCTGGTCAAGATCTTCAGCTTCCTGCCCACCCGAGCCCTGGCAGCCCTTAAGTGCACCTGCCACCACTTCAAGGGCATCATCGAGGCTTTTGGTGTGCGTGCCACGGACTCGCGCTGGAACCGGGACCCACTCTATCGCGATGACCCCTGTAAGCAGTGCCGCAAGAGGTACGAGAAGGGCGACGTGTCCCTCTGCCGCTGGCACCCCAAGCCCTACCACCATGACCTGCCTTACGGACGCTCCTACTGGATGTGCTGCCGCAGAGCGGATCGCGAGACCCCAGGCTGTCGCTTGGGCCTGCACGACAACAACTGGGTGCTGCCGTGCAGTGGAGTGGGTGGGGGCCGAGCTGGCCGGGAGGAGGGGAGGTGAAGCCCGGGGTGAGGGGACACCCGCCATACCTAAGCCCTTCCTGCTTTGCTGGGAGCTGGGGACCAGGAATGCATCACCAGCCGACACCTACAGTCCATCCAGCGCTGATCTCCCCTAGAACTGGGACCAGGTTTGGGGGTTGACGGGGTAAATGCCCCAGTTGACTCCTGTTGGTTTTTTACTCTTCAGAGCCAGGGCCATGGACCCTCAGAGAGGGTTGTGTTTTGTTGTTTTTTATCAGCATCTCAGTTGCGCCTCCATCAAGCCCTAAGCCCACCCGAGTCTCCACCCCAGGGACCCACCAGCAGGGAGCAGACGGCAGCTAATTTTGGTACCACCTGAGGCTTTTCCTCAAGCTGGCCCTCCCCATTCTGTGCCTCCCCAGTTCTTTGTCTGCGGGGCTGTGTTCACCCAAAGGGCCGCAGTCTCCGAGGTTGACGCCTCCAGGCCATTAGCTTGCAACTCCAGTCGGCACTCTCTGGAGGCGGCCCACCATTTCTAGATGTTTTCCTCATTAAAGAAATGATTTCTCCCGAAGTACCAGTCTCCCTCTCCCCACAGGGAAGTGGGTGACACCCCTGCAAGTGTAGAGACCCCTCTTTAAGCTCTTGTCACTGACTCCCCAGTAAAGCTGTGAAGCCCCTTGCCTCCCTCAGAGGGCAAGGACAGTGGGTCTGAAATTCTAGGTAATTCTTCCTTCCACTTGGGGTACTCAGTGAGGCATTCGGGTCTCCGCCCCCCCTCCCCCACAAGCCACAAGGTTCTTTAGAATCTTTTGGTTAACTGGGACCTTGATTTTTAGGCAGTTTGGTCCAAGATTTTTTTTTTTTTAATTTATTTTTGTTTTTTGAGACAGGGTTTCTCTGTGTAGCCCTGGCTATCCTAGAACTTACTCTGTAGACCAGGCTGGCCTCAAACTCACAGAGATCCACCTGCCTCTGCCTCCTGAGTGCTGGGATTAAAGGCGTGCGCAACCACCGCCCAGCAATCCAAGATTTTGTTTGGGTTTTTTCCTCTTTTGGGGTGTTTTGTTTTGTTTTCTCATTCATTGTGGTTCTGGAAGCTTCTAGTGTGTGGCAACTGACCAATTTTGAATTGGTCCTTTCTATAAAATCAATATTTATAAAGCAGGGCCAGACTGGTCTGTGTGATGTTAAGGGAAGGGATTTGGTAACAGAAGAGACCCACAGTCTGTGCTTGGCAGGGTGGGGTGGGAAAGGAGGAGAAGGGGCCCTGCTTCTTTCAGGAGTCCAGCATCGTCGGGTGAGTTTGGGGCCCTCGGGTCGCCGTTGTGTGGTGCTTCGGCAGTGGTCCTCATTGCTGTGGTCTGTGACTGCAGGAATTCCTGCTGTCCCTGTGGTGCAGGAAGGGAAGTCCCTTCATGGTGGAGCTGCTACACATGCTGTGAGTACCCTCAGTCCATCAGAACTTCCCAGCCCCTCGTTTTTTATAGACAGACACACTGGGGATGGGACCCAAGTTAAAACCATAAGGTTCTTTCATTCTCAGTATCATTTTGTGCATGTGTGTGTGCTGTGTGGGTGGTAGTTGTGGAGTATTTGTTTAATGATGCAAAGATGTGTTGCATTCTTTTATGTTGCATTTGTTTAACTTTGTGAAGCTATGCTACTGTGCCTGTCTTAAACACCTGATTGGTCTAATAAAGAACTAAATGGCCAATAGCTATGCAGGAGAGGGACAGGCGGGGCTGCCAGGCAGAGAGAATAAATAGAAGGAGAAAAAGAATGAGAGAGGGTGAGGAGAGGACACCATTGGCCAGCCATACAAACAGCCACGGAGTAAGAAGGAAAGAAAGGTATATAGAATAGAGAAAGATAATAGCCCAGAGGCAAAACATAAAAGAAGAGAATCAGGTTAATTTAATAAAAGCTGGCTAGAAACAAGCCAAGCTAAGGAGGGGCATTCATAAGTAATAAGTCTCTGTGTATTTATTTGGGAGCTGGTGGCAGCCCCCCAAAGAGTTCTTTATTAGACCAAGCAGGTGTTTTAGAAAGGCAAAGAAACACAGTTTCACTGAGTTAAACAAATGCAGCATAAAAGAATGCATCAGGGCTGGAGAGATAGCTCAGAGGTTAAGAGCACTGACTGCTCTTCCAGAGGTCCTGAGTTCAATTCCCAGCAACCACATGGTGGCCCACAACCATCTGTAACGAGATCTGGTGCCCTCTTCTGGCCTGCAGGCATACATGCTGTATACATAATAAATAAATCTTTAAAAAAAAAAAAAAAAAAAAAAAAAAAAGAATGCATCAAACAAATATTCCACAGCATAAACAGATCTTAATATTCATAACAAGTGGTGCAGGTGCACACAGGGCACAGCACACATGTGCAGGTCTCTCCTCCCACTGTGGGCTCCAGGGATCGAGCTGAGGTCATCAGGCTTCCGCAGCAAGTGCTTCTACCCACTGAAGCCTTTTCACAGGCCCATACGATTCATTTCACAGAACCTTATACATATAATCTGATGGTGAATTTTTTGTGCGTTTGTGTGTGTGTGTGTGTGTGTTGCTGAGGATGGAACCCAAGACCACATATGCTAGGCAAATGCTTTACCACTGAGCCACACCCCAGCCCCTCACTGGGGGACTCTAGGCAGATGCTGTAGGTAACTAAGCTGCATTCTCAGCTCATTTTGAGATAGGGTCTCACTAAATTGTCCAGCTTTGCATTTATTCTCCACCAGGTGGGGCTTGAGCTAGGTGAGCTGGGATTAATGGACCTAGTCATCACACCTGGCTCTTACTTTATACCCTGAGTTATGGTTCAGGTTCCCATGAAATCTGCAGTTCACCGGGAAAGCCAGTGGACCCCTCATTAACACTCCCTCTCACTGAGATGAAGGGCGGCTTCTCACACGTGCTCAGCAAGGGCTAGCTGACTGAGCCGCCTCTCAACCTGGTTCCACCACCCGCCTTCTCCTCAGGTACAACCGCTAAGCAACTCCACACTCACCAAGCTGGCCTCAATGATAAGGGGCTCCGAACTCAGTTAATGAGGAGGTTCCCACAAATGTTTGTTCCTTTTTTGTTTTTTGAGACAGGGTTTCTCTGTGTATCAGGCTGGCCTTAAACTCAGAGGTCCGCCTGCCTCTCTGCTTTCTGAGTGCTGGGATTAAAGAATTCCACAAGCCAGTCGGTGGTGGCGCACGCCTTTAGTTCCAGCATTTGGGAGGCAGAGGCAGGTGGCTCTCTGTGAGTTCCAGACAGCCAGGGCTGTTACACAGAAGAACCCCATCTCAAAAAACCACAAAAAAAACAAAAAAGGATTCCACGATACCCACTCTGTTACTATTCTGCCCCTCCCATTGGTCCTGGTTCAGTGGGTTTGGGGTGGATCTTAGAAGGCTGTTTATTTACATGGACTTATGAAACAACCCCTGGCTGGCTATGTCGAGGTAGAAACCAGTTCATCCAGCACTCAGGACTGGGTAGGAGGATTGGGAGTTTGTGGCCAACATGAACTGCACAGTTCCAGGAAAGTCAGAGCTATACAGTTAGGCCTTGTCGAAAAAGAAAGAAATAGTGCTGGGTGTGGTGACTTGTGCTTTTAATCCCAGCGGAGGTGGAGTCAGCTGGATCTCTTGTCCCTTCATGGCAAGCTTGCTCTACAAAAGGAAATGGTGGTCTGGGGTTGCTGGGTCCAGGGACGCGTAGTCTGTTCAGTCCATTCCCACTCTCAAACCTAGTATTTCCCAAAGTATCTTCTGAGGCAGCTTCATTTGAGGTACTTCTCATAAAGGGGTTCCACTTTGAGAACCACTTCGTTCTCTCTAACCTGCAAGATCTCACCTTTTGAGTGCACAAACTCATTTAATGTCGTTTCCCAGTGGGAACTGTGGCCTTCGCTTCCCCTTAACCCCTGAGCCAAGCAGAAGGTGGAGCATCGAGCTGATCTCTGTCCTGAGTTCTGAACCCATGCCCACGTGGGAGTCAGAACTGGGTCCATGCAGCAGCAAGGCTGCTATTCTGACAAATAAACTGACATAAAACATTAGCCACAGAGGATTCATTTGGTTGGTAGTGCTGGTTCAGGTACCAGCCCATGACACATCATTTGGTCCCTGGGAACTTCCAGACCAGTCCGTTTACTTCAGGACAGAAGCCAAAAATATTCTTTTGGCTCTCTCATACCCTCAGTGTTCCTGGCATGTCCTTGAAGTGCAGTGGCTTGAGATGGTTGTAGCATACGGTCTGAGGTGAGCCTGGCCACCCTGCACTGGCTCAAGATGCCCCTGCCATGTCCCCAGCTGAGTGTAAGATCCTTCTAAGGTATTGGTCTGCAGGCTAGAGTCCCAGGTACTCAGCCAGGAACACGGCAAGGATGCGGCTCAGGTTGTGCACGGTGGGCGGGTGGAGGTTGGCCTCAGTGTCAGCAGGTGTGTGCCACACAGCAGGGAAGGGCGTGGCGATGAGGTGGAGCACCGGGACCCCTGGAGGGGACAGGAGATTCGGCCACCAGCTGCAACCCACCCCTGCTACAGAGCACCCCCTCAACCCACAGCCACAGAAGATAGTCAGTGCTAGCACTTACATAACCTCTCAACCCACGACCTTGGGCATGCTAAGCAAGTGCTCTACCCCTGAATTACATGCCCAAGCCTTGAAGAATGATTCTAAGTGTGAGAGGGTACATATTGTTTAAGAAAAGTAATTAGAGCTGGGTGTGGTAATGCACGCCTTTAATCCTAGCACTTGGGAGGCGGAGGCAGGCAGATCTCTGAGTTTGAGGTCATCCTGGGTCTACAAAGTGAATTCCAGGACAGTCAGAGCTACATAGTGAGACCCTGTCTTTATCTCTTTTTTGTTTGTTTGGGGGTTTTGTTGTTGTTGCTTTAATTATTTATTTGTATGTTAAGGGCATTGGTGATTTACCTGCATGTATGTCTGTGTGAGGGTGTTGGAACCCTTGAACTGGAGTTACAGACAGTTGTGAGCTACCACATGGGTGCTGGGAATTAAACCTGGATCCTCTGGAAGAGCAGCCAGTGCTCTTAACCATTGAGCCATCTTTCCAGCCCTTTTTTGTTTTTTGAGACAGGACTTCTCTGTATGTAACCCTGGCTGTCCTGGAGCTAGTTCTGTAGGTCAGGCTGGCCTTGAAACTCATGGAGATCCTCCTGCCTCTGTTTCCTGAGTGCTGGGATTAAAGGCGTGTGCCACCACTGCCCAGTGAACCTGTACTCTTAACTCTTACATTGGGATCCTGCTCTTTGAATGTTTCCCTGTGTAACCACAGAGACAGGCAGACTATCTGTGACACCTACTTCCTCACCTGCCCGTGGAAGCACTCCCTGAGGAACCAGTGAGGAAATGGACCAGTGCTTGCCTGGCATGCAAGAGGCAGTGTTGTTGGCTCGCTGGGCATGCATTTGCATTTCTGATGCCCTCCATTCTCCCCACTTGACAGATGGAGAAATCAAGACTGAGCACTTGCCAGCAGCCCCTAGCCCTGGGGAAGAGGCTTCCTTGTACTATTGCCCCAGCAAGTACCTCTGCGGAGGAAGGGGATGTGGTCATCTTCCACGGAGCTGGGGGGCTCCCCAGGTTGGAAGTACATCACTTCCTGTGGGTGAGACTGCAGTAGGTTCAGACGGTGAAGGCGCTTCTCTGGAGAGGCAAGATTGTAGAGCAAAATCAGTCAGCAGTCAGAGGTATCACCCCAAAACAATATATACATGTGTGTACCATGTGCATGCAGTGCCTGGGAGGCCAAAGGGCATCAGATCCCCTAGAACTGGAGTTACAGTTGGGAGCTGCCACATGGGTGCTGGGACTCAAACCCAGGTCCTCTGGAAGAGCACCCTGCTGTTCACTGGTGAGCCGTCTCTCCAGCACCATGGTTTGTTGTTGTTTTTAATGGCAAGCTTCCTATTCCTAGTCTCATTTAATCCTTCTCTGTCGAGAAGGTGGATGCCCTATTTCTCTATTATTCGTCTGTGTGTGATGCGGTTGTGTGCATGTGGAGGTCAGAGGACAGCTCTGTGGAGTCAGTTTTCCCCCGCCTTTACGTGGGTTCTGGGAATTGACTCTGGCTGCCAGGCTTTTGAGGCAAGCACCTTTACCTACTGAGCCATGTCGCTGGCCTCACTGTTCCTAATTTTTAAATTTAACTATGTATTTATTATGACAGTTTTTAGAGACGGGCTCTCGTGTAGCTGCAGGCTGGCCTTAAACTCTGTGTGTGGCCGAGGATGGCTGAACCCTGATCCTCCTGCCCTACAACTATCTCCCAAGTGCTGAGATTACAGGCATGTACCACCCATGTAGGCTGATAGTTATTTTGAGCTAAGGTCTTGCTTCATAGCCCAGACGTGCCTAGAATTCACAATCCTCTTGCCTCAGACTTCCAAGTGCTGGGATACAGGTGAACACCACCAGGCAGCTTACTCTAGCATGGAACTCACTATGTAGCCCAGGATAGCCTTGAACTTGTGATCTTGCCTCAACTTCCTGAGTGTTGAGATTTCAGGCATGCACCACTGTGATGACCAGTTCACAACTATGCTCTGTTAGCATTATCACCATGCCTATTTTACATATAAGAAATAGAGGCTTGCCGGGCGGTGGTGGCGCACGCCTTTAATCCCAGCACTCGGGAGGCAGAGCCAGGCGGATCTCTGTGAGTTCGAGGCCAGCCTGGTCTCCAAAGTGAGTTCCAGGAAAGGCGCAAAGCTACACAGAGAAACCCTGTCTCGAAAAACCAAAAAAAAAAAAAAAAGAAATAGAGGCTTAACTGGGTGCTAATGGTATTCGCCTTTAATCCCAGCACTCAGGAGGAGGAGGTAGGCAGATCTCTGAGTTCAAGGCCAGCCAGGGCTACACAGAGAAACCCTGTCTTGAAAAACCACAAAAACAAAACAAAAAGAAATAGAAGATTAGAGAGAGGAAGTGTCTTGCGCAGGCAGACCCAGGGTTTGAAACTAGGCCAGTCTCACAGTCTCAGACAAGAGACTGTCACAGTCGCTACGCCAACCTTCCTAGGGTCAGTTTGTTTCTGTCCTAGTTTCTTAGCCCAGGGGTGGAGAGAGAAGGCAGATGAGCACACAGAGGTCAGGTGACTGACCTACCCTGGCCTTGGCCTACCCTCCTTACCGATGCTCCTCAGTCGTTGGAACCAGCGCGCTGTGCGGGGGAAGTGACTGAAGAAGATTGGACTGGGTGCTCCCAGAAGGTCAAGAAGGACAAAGAGCTCCTGAGGAAGGAGTCCAGGGCTGGAGGCTGCTGAGTCCGTCCGATGTACTGACCCTACCCTCCTTCCCCCTCCCTGCCTCTGCTCCAGAGCCCAGAAGAATGGATCTTACAATAGCCTGGATCCGAGTGGGGCCGGGGCTGTGCGGTATAGACTCCATGATTTTAGCTAAGTGCCGGGAGCCATAAAGGGAGTCCCTTGGTCCCCATTCCTTCAGCGCCTCCTCCCCATCCAAGAAGAGCAGCTGCAGGGTCACCGGTGCTGCCTGTGGAAACAAGCAACCAAATCAGCACCAATCCTTGGCATGGGCCCACCCACATGCCCTGCCTCTGCACAGCTGATGGGACAAACCAAGTGTTCTTGTTCATGTGATGTGACAGAAGTCACAGGGTGAGCCAAGAGGGTTCAGATCATGCTTTAGGCGGTTGTTAGATACGGTAACTTTGTTTTGTTTTGAGATAAAGTCTAGTGCAGCCCAAGCTGGCCTGAAGCTCCCAGCCTTCTTGATTCCCTACCTGGGGTTGCAGGTGTGCAGCATAATGCCCATTTTTATTTCTTTTCCCCTTTTTTGTGCTCTGGGGGATGGCTTTAGGGAGGCCCATTTGCTCGACACGCACTGTAGACTGAGCTACCCTTTTTTTTTTTTTTTGAGACAGGGTTTCTCTGTGTAGCTTTGGAGCCTTTCTTGGAACTCACGCTGTAGCTCAGGCTGGCCTCCAACTCACAGAGATCCGCCTGGCTCTGCTTCCCGAGTGCTGGGATTAAAGGCGTGCGCCACCACCACCTGGCTTGAGCTACACCCTTTTGAGACAGGGTTTCACCAAATTGCCCAGACTACCCTTGAGTTCACTGTGTAGCCCAGGCTACCCTTGAGCTCACTGTGTAGCCCAGGCTACCCTTGAGCTGTGTAGCCCTGGCTGGCCTTGAACTTCTGCTCCTCAGACCTCCATGTCTGGAGGAGCTGGAATTACAGGCCTGTGCCACCAGAGTTGGCTCAATTTCTTCATCTATGAATGGGGTTAATAGTTCTGTTCACAGGATCACATTTGAATCCAGGTCTGTAAGAACTGAATGAACCAGCTCTTGGTGTTATTACTTAAGCCCAGTTGGGCAACAGACAGACAGACAGACCCAACCAAAAGGGAATAACTGTACAATGAAACATGATTGGGATTGGGACAAATGCTCCCAAGATCTAGTTTCTGAGGGCACGGGACGCTGGCTGAAGGGTGATCTGGCCTACAGTGGCCACTGATTCTATTAGATAGGGATGTTTGCACCGGGGGTGAGTTGATACGAGTTGGGAACAACAAAGAAGGAACAGTGTTCCCAGGCAAGGGGGCAGCCTGGAGCAGAGCTGGGGTCCGGGGGGTTTGACAGGTAGCAGAAGAGTCTGCAAGATCCACAGATTTCAGGCTTTGTTATATTCCAGGAGCACTACGGAGCCAGAGAAGGGCTTGAGGGGGAGAGAAACATAATGAAATGTGTGTTTTCATTCATCCCAGAGTCTACTGCGGTCCCATTTTATTCTGACTCAGGGAGACGTAACAGGAAGGAGAAGAAGCCGGGTCTGTACGGTCATGGAAAGTAGTACTGTGATTAGAGAAAATGAGTTGTCAGTGCCATAAGGAGCGGGCAGTGCCAGGAAGGTATTTGAGGGTGGTTGGAAAGGTTTCCTTGCAAAAAAAAAAAAAAAGACTGTTGGAGAGCCATGGGGTGGCGGGGGGCATATCTCAGAAAAAAAACATAATCTGTGCAGAGCAAAGAGCAAATGCTAATGAGGTGAAAATGAAGCCTGTGGATTGGAGGGGCACAGATAGGGGCGTGGCTAGAGTGCAGCCATGACTGGGACAGCTAGACTGTTAACAGAGTGCATCTCATGGGCTCCCCTCAGGACTCTGGCTTATGCTTAGAATGGAATGGGGGCCATGGGAAAGTTTCTGGACACAGGAGGGCAGGAGCTGCCATTTAGGATGTAGAAAGATCCCTGTGGGAAGCTGGGGGTGTAGCTCAATTGATAGGGCTTACTGAGCATCCATCAAGACCTGGGTTCAGTCTTCAGAACAGCATAAACAAGACATGGCAGTGCAATGTCTTAGTTAGGGTTTCTATTGCTGTGAAGAGACACCATGACCACAGCAACTCTTACTAACGAGAACATTTAATTTAGGCTGGCTTACAGTTCAGAGGTTAGGTCCATTATTGTCATGGTGAGAAACCATGGTGGCATGCAGGCAGACATAGTGCTGGAGAAGGAGCTGAGAGTTCTACATCTTGATGGCAGGCAGCAGAAGTAACTGTGTGTCACATTGGGCAGATCCTAAGTATAGCAAACCTCAAAGCCCACCTCCACAGTGACACTCTTCCTCCAACAAGGCCACACGCACTCCAACAAAGCCACACCTCCTAATGGTGCCACTCCTTTTGGGGGCCATTTTCTTTCAAACCATCACATTCCACTCCTTGGCCCCCATAGGCTTGTAGCCATATCATATTGCAAAAATGCATTCAGCCCAATTTCAAAAGTCCCCATAGTCTGTAACAGTCTCCAACTTAATTAAAAGTCCAAAGTTCAAAGTCGCTTCTGAGACTTCGTGCAATCTCTTAACTGTAACCCCCTGCAAAATCAAAAAGCAGCTCACATACTTCCAACATATAATAGCAAAGGATATATGTTATCATTCCAAAACATAGGGAAGGGAGCATAGTGAGGAAATATTAGACCAAAGCAAGACCAAAAACCAGCTGGGCAAACTCCAAACTCTGCATCTCCATGTCTGATGTCAAATGCTCTTCCAATCTCCAGCTCCTTTCAGCTTTATTGACTGCAACACACTCCTTCCTCTTAGGCTGGTTCCACTCCCTCTTAGCAGCTCTCCTTGGCAGGTATCCCACAGCTCTGGCATCTCTAACATATTGGGGTCTCCAAGGCAATCCAGGTTTCACCTTCACAGCTTCACACAATGGCGTCTCTGGGCCTCCATGCCGGGACACCCCTGACACATGCCTGGCCTCCGCAGCTTTCCTTAGTCTTAGAGGAAGGTTCCATAACACCTTTCTTCTATCCTTGACTCTAAACTAAAGCTGGAACCATGTGACTGAAGCTGCCAAGTTCTGCTGCTTGTTTGGGCCTGGAATATGGCCGCCTTGCTCAATTATATCCTCACCAGCTTTCTGTTTTCAATGGTTTCCTTCACTGTCTAAGCTTGGCTGTCCTGAAACTTGCTCTGTAAACCAGGCTGGACACAAACTCAGAGATCAGCTTGCCTCTGTCCCCAGTGTGCTGGGATTAAAGACATATATATACCACCATGCCTGGACCTAAAGCTGTTCTTAATTCTTTTTTACAAGTTGGAAACTTAGCTGGGTGGCATCTTCCCCTGAGGTCACCACTCCCTTTAATCTATTTCTTAATCTGTTTATCTCCTTGAACACAGAATTTAGCTCCATCCCACTTCTGGTGCCCCCTTTTCTCCTCAGTCTGTACATTTTGTATTTTTCCTTGCTCAGCTTGCTCTTCATCATTATAAATCTTCATAAGAGTTAACATAAGCCAGGCAGTGATGGCCCACACCTTTAATGCCAGCACTTGGGAGGCAGAGCCAGGCAGATCTCTGTGAGTTCAAGGCCAGCCTGGGCTACAGAGCGAGATCCAGGAAAGGCTCTAAAACTACACAGAGAAACCCTGTCTCGAAAAATCAAAAAGAAAACAAAAAACAAACAAATAAACAAAACACAGAGTTAACATGAGTAACCACATGACAGAATCTATACTAGTCTGTTTTGAGATGTCCTCTGCCAAGGGAATTAATCCAAAACTCTTCATTTCAGCCTCAGACTCACTCTTTGGACAAGGGCAAAAAGTAGCCACATTCTTCATCAAAATATCACAAGAACAATCTGTAGACACATATTAATATTCTTCTCCTCTGAAGCCTCTTGAGCCAGGCTCGCACAGTTCATCAGATCAGCTCAGCCCCACTGTCCCCCACATTCCTGCTAGCATGGCCCATTAAGCAGTACTTAGAGCATTCCACTGCTTTCCTGACTCAAACTCCCCAAAACATGATCAGACCTACCACAGCAATACCCCAGTCCTGGTACCCCAGGCAGGGAATATGGTGGCTTGAAAGAAATTGCCCCCCATGGGGAGTGGAGGTGTGGCTTTGTTGGGGTGGGTATGGCCTTGTTGGAGGAAGTGTGTTACTGTGGGGTGGGCTTCGAGGTCTCCTATGCTCAAGCTACACTCAGTATGGGACACAGTTCACTTCCTGTTGCCTGCGGATCAAGATGTAGAACTCTCAGCTCCTTCTCCAGCACCTGTCTACCCGCATGCCACCATGTCACCCGCCATGACGATAAGGGACTGACCCTCTGAAACTGTAGGCCAGCCCCAATTAAATGTTTTCCTTTATAAGAGTTGCCATGGTCATGGTGTCTCTTCACAGCCATAGAAACCCTAACTGAGGCATGCATGTATGGCTATAATGCCAGCTCTCAGGAGATGGAGGCAAGAGGGTCAGAAATTCAAGTTCATTCTTGAGTTTGATGCTAGTGTGGCCTACATGAGACCTGGCTGGAGAGAAAAAAAAAATCCTTGTGTCTCAGTGCATAGAGCATACGTTGGAAAACAAAGAGGACAGTGGAGGTTGGAGAAGACAAAGGTGGGGTATGTGGCGTGTACCTGCCACCCCACTGCTTGGAAAGGTGATGCAGAAGAAGGGCTGAGTTCAAGGCCAGCTTGGGCTACACTCTGGTGAAACCCTATTTCAAAAAAGAAAAGAATGACAGAAGCAAGAGAGGATGTGGGCAGTGACAGTCCACCTTCCCCAACTCTCACCTGCTTCTTGAATCTGCTCAGCATCACATCAAAGGCCTGGACCAGCTCCAGAAGCAGGGCACAGGGTACAGCCGAATCTGTGGCCCCCACAAAAGGGGGTGACCCAGGAGGGAAGAACTTGGAGTCATAATGGCAGGCGAGGGTGAGGTGACGGGCAGCTCCTGGGTCAAGCGTGGCCACCACGTTCCCGAAGTCCAGTGGCCCCAGGGGTGTTGAAGCTGTGAAAGGGTCCAGTTCCACGTGCCAGCCTGCTGACAGGGACCGCAGCGTGGCCTCCAGGAACTAGTGGCAAGAGAGAGGCAGGAGGGTGGACAGGGACTGGGGAGGAGGTGGGGAGAAGGGTCTTGTGACTGGAGCCACGCAGAGCAGTCTGGGTGCCCAGAGAGTCCCACTTTTGCTTTTGCTGATGAACAACTGTGTGCCAGATGTGGGTAACCACACCTATCTTGATAGCAACAAGACTTCAGGCTAATGTTTATGTTGAGACAGACTCTCACTATGTAGTCCAGGCTAGCCTCCAACTTGCTGTGTAGCTGAGGCTGTCCTAGAACCCCAGGTCATGCTTCTGCTTCCTGAAAGGATTATAGACCCAGGCCACCACCACCATACCCAGCCATGGACAGTTCTCTCTCTCTGTCTCTCTCTGTCTCTCTGTCTCTCTCTCTCTCTGTCTCTCTCTCTCTCTCTCTGTCTCTCTCTCTCCATGGTGCTGAGAGCTGACCCAGGATTTCCCGCATGCTGTTGACACAGCCACAGCCCCACACTGGTGGATACTAGGCAAGTCTTCTACCATTGAGCCACACGCCCAATCTCACATTGGCGGATTCTATGCAAGTGCTCTCCTGTTGAGACAAGCTCTGACTTCCTCTTAAAAAGCTCTCACTATGTGCCAAGCCTGTTCTACAATCCCTATGAAGTTAACAATGTCAGTGAATGTCCCCATTTTGCAGATGAGAAAATTGAGTCCCAGAGAGGTTAAGAAAACTAGTCCAACTAAGGTGGATCCTAAATGCAGTGTCTAAATGGCAACAAAGCAATGCTACACCACCCATTCTGAAGCCAACCTTGTAGTCTAACCTCAAGTAGCTGTGGGAATTTGGACAAAATGTAATAACTCCCCTGGGCCTCAATTTCTCCATCATATTGATTTCAATCTCACCAGACAATACATTGCTGTGCCTAATGCATAGAAGCTCTCGGCAGGGGTTGTATAGTTTGGGATTTCTGCACACCGTGAGAATCTAGAGTCTGGTTCTCACACACACACACCCCCCCCATCAGAGCCCAGTCTGCCTCCTGGCTGTTCCTGGATCTTAGACGCCTGCGTTCCATTTCCTGACAGGCTGGGGAAAGGAGTTTAGGGATTGGAAATAAGACCCTTTACCTTTCTCACTTGGACATTGCCAGGACTACCTGGGGGTCGCACAATCAGCAGGGGACGCAGGAAAGTCCCCCAGAGACGCTGCGGATCCAGCTGCCCTACCACCCTCCGCAGCTTGGCTTCTGGAAGGCTTCCAATCAGCGGGGCCTTGGTTGGGAAATGGGATGGGGAGAAGAAAAATGAAGACAACCCCATTCCCACCCTCTCCTGGGCGCCGTTGCCCCCCTAGGAGCCCTGACTCTTCTGGGTGATGCGTCAAAGACTTGGAGGATATATCCTAGATTGGGAGAAAGTCTTTAAAGCAAATCGGGTCCATCCTACTTGCAGTCCTGACGGGGAAATCGAAAACCGGGTGATAGAGATTCTTTTAAATAGATGGCTTGGGGGTAGAACTCAAGTCTACCAGTGTTGCTGTGCTGACCCTTCATGCTCAGAAAGGGCTATTACAAAACAAGCCGGAAGCCTTATTCTGTTGGGAAGGGGCATGCGCTCAAATGATGGAAAAAGAGATGGCACCTGAGACAAGGGCCATACGATACAGCCACGTTAACCTGAGAGTCTATACGAAAGGAAATGAAGGAATGACAGTGCCCGGGCCCCAGCCAGGCCTCACCCGCAGATCCCGGCTCCGTGACAGCTCTTCAAATCCCGGGTGCCAGCCGTACCAGACGACATAGAAAGCCAAGCCCAGGGCCAGCACCAACAGTAGCAGAGGCAGGAGCCGCACTCGCGGCAGCAGGCGGCGCTTGGAAAGTGAAGGCGGTTGCATGAAGCCCCGATCCCCGAGCCGCTGCCGGGGCCGCCCGCGGCTCCCGGATCGCATGGCAGCTTTGCCCTGAAACCAGTCCCTGGACTGTGGTTTGAGTTTAGGCCAAGATCCGCCCATGGTGGATTCAAAAAACAAGGAGAGTGGCTGCTTCGTCCCCCAAATGACTGCGATTGGCTCTCCTAAACGTCGTACAACCCAAAAGGCAGCGCGGAAAACTTAGGGCCCGCCCCCCCGGAAGCGGATCAGCCAATGACTTGCGTCTGACTGTGTGAAACCGCTTTCGCCGGCGTGGAGCCACGCCCCTCATCATGTCGCTCAAGAAACACATCTAGGAACCGTCGCTCCAGGACAAAGGGGCGGCACCAACCCCTAAAGCAAGGAGTCGATTGGCTTGCCCGAAACCACGCCCCTTAGGAAAAGCGTGTCTGCGGGTGTTTGGAAACGGTATTGCGTTCCCTTCTTCCACTTAGACTGTTGGACAGGGAGTAATTCAAGTCAGGCCCCCTTTTATTTTCCCCTCCTAGTCGTGAGCAGAGACCCCCCCTATTGTGATCCTCAATGGCCTCGAATCCTCCCCCGAGGCATTTTCAACGGCAGCACCCAGCGGATGGGTCACTATGGCAACATGGCACGCCCACACCCTCTGGTGTGGGTTGCGCAGGCGCTGACGGAAGTGAGCCGCAGGAGGGCGGAAGTCCCGCCCTCCCCTCGCTCGACTCCGGAGGCCAGAGCAACGCGGTGGAGGCGGGCGTGATCTGCGAGCGAAACCTCCACCATGTGAGGCCGGGCTGGGCTTTGGCGGGGTCACGAAGGTGGAGGGGGTCAGTTTAGCAGATTAACGGTTGAAATGGGGTGTTCGTAGCTGGGGGGGCAGAGTTCTTCAAGCGAAAGTAGTGTGTTTGAGCCCGGGCGTGGGGCCTTGGAAGGATCATGAGTTCCGGAGGGGACGGCTTTATTCCCTAATGGGCTTAGGACCCTCCTAGGTACGGAGTCTTGTGAAAATGAACTGTAAGAGGAAAGCTGAGCCCGGTGGTACATGCCTAGAATCCCAGGCCTCGAGAGGCTGAGGCAGGAGGATCGCTAGTTCGTGGCACGGTTCATAGCGAGACAGTTTCCAAAAATAACAGTAGTTTTAAATGGGAGTGGTATAATGGATAAAGAATAAAAATAGTGAAGGGCTCTAGGGGAAAAAAATAATAAGGAGAGACTTAACCAGGATAAATTAGAGAACAGGTATGTGGCTTTTCGACCTAATTAGAGACTGTTAGAGTAGCAAGCTACTGCGGTGGTTTGGTGTGTTGATTCATTGAGCAGATATTACATAGACTGCTTATAAGTTAAGACACATGGTGACTAAAAGGTCCTTGCCCCCAAGAGGGGTGAAAAATCTCACTGGGACTTGTAAAAGGAATGGGGTAGGGAGGCCATAGAGTAATGAATGGGTATATACAGTGTGTTAGATGATCAAGAGTCGGAATGAAGGCATTGAGTAGACAGCACAAAAGAACACACTGAAGGTGAAATCCTTGGGCTGGAGTTATAGCTCTGTGGACAGAGTCCTTGGCTACCATGGGTACTGAGTTCAGTCCTCAGCGCCACACAAACTGGGCATGGTGGCACATGCCGTTAATCCCAGCACTCTAGAGGCAGAGACAGACAGTTTGAGCCCCAGGCCAGCCAGGGTTCCATAGTTAGATGTTGTGGGGGTGGGGCACCAGGAGAGAGATGATGGAAGTTTAGGCCATGGGTAGAAACGGCCAGGTTTTACATACATTGTAGAGGTAGATGACAAGACGTGAGGGTAGACTTGCTGTAAGATGTTAGAGGAGAATCCAATGCCAGGAATGATGGTGAACCCTTGTAATCCCAGAACTTGGGAGGTGGTGCAGGAGAATTGAGAATTGAAGGTCATCCTTAGTTACATAGCAAGTTCACGGCCAGCCTGAGCTACATGAGATCCTGTCCCCAAACAGAAATCAATTAAACAGTAGAGTTTTAGCTTAGAGAACCCACCGAATGGAGTTGCCATCAATGAAGTGGGTGGAAGAGGTGTGGTGGTTAGATGAGCTGGAGCGGACTAAATTGGAAGTGTCTCTCCTACCTCCAGAAAAGACTGAGCAGGGAGGGTGTTTGGGGGCCAGGTTGAGGAGACACCGGCCAGGGACTTTGACCACTCACACTTCCAACCTGAGCCTATCTCACCCATGGGTTCTCTATTCAGGAGTCTCCTCAATAAACCCAAGAGTGAGATGACCCCAGAGGAGCTGCAGAAGCGAGAGGAGGAGGAGTTCAACACGGGCCCCCTCTCGGTGCTCACACAGTCCGTCAAGAACAACACACAGGTGCTCATTAACTGTCGCAACAACAAGAAGCTCCTGGGGCGAGTGAAGGCCTTTGACAGGTGGGTGCTGTCGGGGAGGGCGGGCTCTGAGGGGCCTGAAGGAGAGATTATACCAGAAGCATCATGGCAGTGAGCTGGACATGGTGACAAACACCTTTAATCTCAGCGTCACCACGAGTTAGAGGCCAGCCTCAGAAAATCAAAACAAATTTAAAAAATCAGAAAGTGGGGGTGGGGTGCCATTTTTTTTTTTTTTTATGTGTGTGTTATTTGAGACAGGGTTTCTCTGTGTGGCCTTGGCTATCCTGGAACTCACTCTGTAGACCAGGCTGGCCTCGAACTCACAGAGATCCACCTGCTTCTGCCTCCCGAGTGCTGGGATTAAAGTGTGCACCACCACTGCCCAGCTTAAATTTGTCTTTCTTACGTGTATATCTCATGTGCTAGGATTACAGGCATGAAATACACCATCTTGCCTGGTTCATCTTTTAGTTAAGGTCGTGCCTTCTATAAGGAGTTGTCTTATGATGTAGTCATACATGTCCATCATTATACACATTCGCTGTCCCCAAGCAAGCATTTCTGGAAGGAACTGATCCAACTGTAAACACATGGCCACCTGGCGCCATGAGGACAGGACAGTGTGGCACTGGCGTGCACGTGTTGGGAGCCATGCCTAACCCCAGCACCCTGGGACCCTCTGGGTTTGGAGGGAGAGGGGTTCTCTCCTGCTGTTTCCCCAAGTACTTAGAGGCGATGGCAGAAGTGAAGCCATTTTGATTGCCTTTACTCTGCCAGGATCATGCTTCAGAAATACTGCATTCCTTCACCAGTCCTCAGTCAGCCCTGTGAATAGATAACTCCATTTCGGAGAAGGGGAAAACTGAGGCACAGAATGGGCTGAGATGGTACTAGAGCTTCACCCTTTCTCCATGCCTGCTGCTAGGGGGATCACCCAGTGCCAGGCAGAGGTGGGCACTCAGAATGCCCCCTCTCACTCCATCCTTCTCCCCAACCCCTGCCCCACCAGGCACTGCAACATGGTGCTGGAGAATGTGAAAGAGATGTGGACTGAGGTCCCCAAGAGCGGCAAGGGTAAGAAGAAGTCCAAGCCTGTCAACAAGGACCGCTACATCTCCAAGATGTTCCTGCGCGGGGATTCGGTCATTGTGGTGCTGCGGAACCCGCTCATCGCCGGCAAGTAGAGTAGAGGCCTCTTCCCTCTATGAGAGCCTGCTCCCTGCCCTGCCGAGCCTTGCCCAATGGGATGGAAATAAAACCCTGTGTTTTTTTGTTGTTTTGTTTCCAATGGTCTTATCTGCCCTTGGATCTTGTGAACAGAGTGGACTGTGGGAGAGGGAGACAGAGTCGGGTTATCATGGGCTGGGCACTAGGACAGGACCTGTGAATAGGTGAAGCACATCTGCCCCGTCTGTGAAGAAGACAGTTGAGACAGAAATGACCTTAATTTATCTTTGGTGTGTTGTGGGCAGAGGGATTCTCTGGCAAATTTGTGGGGAGGTACAGGTGGGAAAAGGCAGTCTGTTCATTGTAAGAAGATAATGGAAGGACCCTGCCTTGTTCAGGACTGTACACAGGGCCCTCTGTCCCACCCATGGCTGTTTTCTGTCTCTGTATCTCCAGGTAATTCCAAATACAAGGTAGATGCAGGAGATCATAGGCCTGAGGTCGGGATAGCTTCCCTCTTTAAAATATACATGAAATGTGTAGGTGTGTTGCCTGTACATGTCTGTTCCTGGTGCCCTCAAGCCAGAAAAGGGGGCTTGGATCCCCTGGAAGTAGAGTTGCAGATGGTGGTGAGCAGCCATGTGGGTGCTGGGAACCAAACCTAGGCTCTCTACACGAGCAGCGGGTGATCTTGACTGCTTGGCCACCTCTCCAGCCACCTCGCTGTCGTCTTGATCTATGAAGCCCTGTGCAGAGCGGGGAAGCCTGTAGGAGAGAAGGCCTGTGGTTTTTGGTCAGTAAAGGCGTGTATTCCCTGAGTGACTGCCAGAAAGAACAGTATGGACTCTAAGCTATCTCTCTTTTGTTCTCTTGTGGTACTGGGGACTGAACCTAAGGTCTCACATGCTTAGCAGGCTCTCCACCATGAGCTACATCCTCAGCCCTCCAGAATTAGGCTGTCAGCCAGCACACTCCAGCATCCTGTCTCCACCCCATGCTGTGGGTAGGTGCTGCAGACTTGAACTCAAGTCCTCGTGCTTATACAGGTGCTCTTAACCACTGAGCCATCTCCCTAATTCTTCTATTCATTCCTTGTTTTGAGACAGGGACCGTCTCAGGAAGTTTCCCAGGCTGGCCTTGAATTTGCAATCTTCCTGCCTTAGTCTTCCAAGCAGCTCGTATAACAGGCCTATATCACCAGGGCTACAGACCTTGTTCAGGTGCGACCATGAGATTCAGGAAGGGCGTTGACTTGCCCCAAAGTCACCCAACTAGAAAATAATGCGGCTACATCAAGATGGCAGCTGGGGCTGGTGAGATGACTCGGTGGCTACTGAGTTTAGTGCCCAGCGCCCACATCTGGCAACTGCTTGTAACTACAGGGGGTTGTTACAAGGGGATCCAACACCCTTTCTGACTTCCTTTGGGCACCTGCACACAAATACACATAGATTAAAAATAGATTTTTATGTTGGGTGTGATGGCACATGCCTTTAATCCCAGCACGGGGGAGGTACAGGCAGCCTGGTCTACATAGTGAGTTCCAGGACACCCAGAGCTACACAGAGAAACCCTATCCAAACAAAACAAAAGAGATCTTTATGGCCTATCATGGTGGTGCATGTGTTTAATCCCAGCACTCAGGGAAGCAGTGGCAGAGACCTCTCTGCAAGTTTAAGGCCAGCTTGGTCTACATAGTGAGTTCCAAGACAACCAGGGCTACAGGCTAAGACCCTGTTTCCAAAAACAAACAACAAAACAGCCTAATGAACAATACAATAAACTAAAAGGAAGGCAGGCATGGTGGTGCGTGCCTGTGATCCCACAGCTTGAGAAGCTGAGGCAGGAGGTGAGCCAGGCATAGTGAGACCATCTCCACAAGAAAAGGCTCTGTTGGAAGTGCATTCAGAAAGGAGCTAGCCTGGGCTCCCCCTCCACCTCCTCCCACTTGATGGGCTGCCATGGTGCTGTGGCCAGTGAAGGCGGCTCCTGGTCGCCCATGCTCCTCTAGGCTCTCTCTAGGGCTGAGAAACAGGGCCATCAAGGAGAGCTCCGCCCCAGGAGCACCGCTCGGCTCCCTGCTTAGCTCCTTCCAGTTTGCTCTGAGAACCCGGGATTGCAGCCTCCAGACCCGCAAAAGGTACTTCGTGTCTCAGCTGGCCTTCCTGTGGGGTCCCCCACCAGCACCACTGCAACCCTCCGCCTCACAGGGGAAGTGGGCCACGGTGCCAGGGGAGGAAGACAGACAGCCCCTCTGTGTGGTGACCTAAAGAGCAGCAGAGGGAGCTGGGTATGGCTGCTGGACCGTTACACCTGTATGTTCTTGTCGTTCAGGACTACATTGAGAGACCCTGTCTTAAAAAAAAAACAAATAGCCGGGCGGTGGTGGCGCACGCCTTTAATCCCAGCACTCGGGAGGCAGAGCCAGGCGGATCTCTGTGAGTTCGAGGCCAGCCTGGGCTACCAAGTGAGTCCCAGGAAAAGGCGCAAAGCTACACAGAGAAACCCTGTCTCAAAAAACCAAAAAAAAAAAAAAAAAAAAAAAAAACAAATAATAAATTTTAAGCCATGCAGCCAAGCTGGTGGGCAGTCTCAGTGTACACAGCTGCCCTGAAGCCTTGAGGTCTCAGGCTTGGGCTCCAGTCCTGCTCTGTCGCCCTGAGCACTACTTAGCAGACACGGAAACTGTTTACCTCCCTCTCACACAGCAAAGGTTGCAGTCCTGGGCATCTGCTGCCCAGATGGTGCTTCTATCTAGCTTTTATTAATTACATGTGGTGGGAGTGTGTGTGCATGTTCACATGTGTATGGATACGTTTGCACATGTATGTATGGAGTTCAGACATGTAAGAATCTATACGTGTGTGCATGTTCACATATGAATGGCTACATGTGCACACATTTGTATGTATGGAGATCAGACAGATGTAAGGATCTATACATGTGTGTGCATGTTCACATATGAATGGCTACATGTGCACACATTTGTATGTATGGAGGCCCAGACTCACATGGGAAGCCCCCTCAATCATTCTCCCAAGTATGTGGTGCTAGGAATTGGAGCCGTGGTCCTCAGAATTGCACGCCCAGCACTTTGCCCACAGAGCCGTCTCCCCTGGCCCCTTGTGGTTTTGATAGGGTCTTGTTATATAGCCTAGGTTGGCCTCAGATTGCAGCAATGCTCCTGCCTCAGCTTCCTGGATGGTGGGGTATACATCACTACTTCCTGACCAAATTATTTCTGGGGAAAGAATGTGATCTTACTTTAGTCCTGACTATCCTGAATCTTAGTAAGAAAGGCTGGCTTTGAACATGCAACAGCCCTGCCTCTGCCTTTGATTGCTTTCAAATAATCCCTTTGGGGATGAAAGCCGAAGTAGAGGTCCTCAGGGATTGCACCAGTCAGACATGATGGACCCCAAGTGAGTCAAGCAGTGTGGGAGTGATCACATGAAGTCCTGGGCAACCTGAGCATGCAGGTCCCAGAGAAGGGAACAGTACAGACAAGTTGAGAATTCAGGGACAGCTAAGAAATGGACTAGGCTGCTTCCTGCTGCTTTCGCTGTTTATTTGAGACAAGGTCTCACATAGTTCAAATATCCAACTTGCTTTCCATCAAGATGACCTTCAACTCGACCTCCTCCTCCCACCACCTCAGATGCTGGGACTACAGCTGCCCCACCCCCTTGTCCAGCTCTGCTGTTCGTTTTGTTGTCTTTCCAGAGAAGCAGCAGGTTCACACACAGCTTTAATTTGTTCATGTGTTTCAAAGAGTGTCCATGAGATTCTCTCAGGGAGGAGCACAGTGGCAACGTGGTTTTCGTGTTTTCTGGTGGCAACGTGTCGCTCCAGTTGCCCCTTACTCGTCTATGGCAGACTACCTCACACACACACACCTTTTCCAGCCTGGCCTTCATCTCCCACCCCATAAAGAAGCAAGTGATTCTCCCGCTTGATTTACTAGGGCCTCCACTCCACCAGCCGCCAAGGGCTGAGGTGTGAAGTGTAGGGTCAGCTACGGGGCACGTCTTCTGGGGACCCTGGGGAAAATACAGCACCCCCCACTAATTGAGGTTTGTGTGTGTGCACACGCAGGTGGACCAGCCACAGTGAGGCTGCATCCCCTAATGTCTCTCAGTCGTCCCTGGGAGGCGGAAGGGTGTGTCCTAACTGCCAGCAGCGGGTCTAGCTGCCTGGAGCAGGATTCAGCAGAGGCCTGCCTGCTCCATGTTCAACCCACAGTGGTCCAGGCTCCTCTTGCTCTGTTGCAAGCTTTCCCCTGCAGCTCCAGATCCTGAAGTTCAGCCCCCTGAGTCTCGCCAGCGTTATACAGGCCAAGAGCCCTTTGATTCTCCCTCCTTTTGTCCCAGCAGTCTGACCCCTCTCCTGGGATCATCAGCAAATCTTTCTCACCCCTCTATGGCCTCCCTCTGGTCCAGCTACCTGCATTCCTCTCACTGGGCTCCCAGCTCACATCCTGCCCCCAACAATCTGTCCCTGTGGAGCAGACAACTGTGTGGAAAAGAGCCAAGGAGACAGACACCCCTGCTAAACGCAGGGCTGGAGAGATGGAGTTCAGTTCACCCCACCCACGTGGAGGCTGACAACCATGCAGTCGCAGAGGATCTTCCACCCTTCAGGCATATGTAAGTGCTGCATGCATGTGGTGCACATACATCCATGCAGGCAAAACGGTCGTATGCATAAAATAAAAGAGTAAAATCTTCACTGCACCCCTTGCCCACTTCTTCCCCGTCTGCAGGCCCAGGCTTTTTCCAGCCACGGAAGCCCTTCTCCATCCTTCCTGTTCCCAGGGCCTTTACACTGGAATCTGCCTGGAGTCTTGTCCTCCACCTCTCCAGGTTGTCTCCACTTCTTTCAAACATGGCTTAAAAGCGTCACGGTCTTCACAAGCGGCCTCCCTGTTAGTGGTCCTAAACATCTCAATCCTTTTTCATAAGCCATTCCACAACAAATATATACATAAAGGGACCTTGTCTTCCTTCCTTCTCCCCCCCGTTTCCCCAGCATTCCCCACACCTGGGCTGGTACACAGTAGGCACTCAATACATGCGAAGTGTACAGACACAGGAGTCCCGTTACCTAGCAGTAACTTTCCAAGACTTCATCTCCAGGCACGTGCAGAGACCCAGAGGGCCAGGCGCTGCCTATGGGGGCCTCCCGGGGTGCAGGACGCGAGGGCAGGCCCGGGGGGCTGAGCTCCATGTTCGGACGGGGGTGCTCTTCGCGGAGGCTGAGACGCAGGCGGCGGTGACGCCAGCCCCGGCGGATCTCCGACTGCACCTGCAACGCGGGGCGCTCAGGGCGGCGCCGTTCCCGGCGCGGCCGCCAGGGGGCGCGGGCGGGCCGGCCTCTCCTACCTCTTTGTTGATGAAGCAGTAGAGCACGCTCACCAGGAAGCCCTGCCAGAAGAGGAGAGATCAATCAGGTCGCTGCTGTGGACTGCGTTGATTCCAGCCCCAAAGTGCTGTGGCTGTTGCCGCCCTGGTCCTAGGTACCGAGGGCACCTGCTTACTGGCGGCTCCCTGCATTGCCCCGCCCGGGGGCTGAGAACAGGGTCCCTCAGTGGAGCGTCCTGTGTGTGTGGAAACTGATTTCCTGCTTTCCACATTTGGGGCAAGCTGCTTAACCACTCTGTGCCTCGGTCATGGAAAATGAAGGTGGTGGCTGGAAGAATTGAGGTATTTGTGTGTCAAAAGATGTAGTGCAGCCGGGTAGTGGTGGCTCACGCCTTTGATCCCAACACTCGGGAGGCAGAGGCAGAGGCAGACGGATCTCTGTGAGTTCCAGGCCAGCCTGGGCTACAGAGTGAGTTCCGGGATAGCAAGATAATACTGCTTAGCCAGGTGTGGTGGCACATGCCTTTAATTCCAGCACTGAGGCGGAGGGAGACAGATTTCCGTGAGTTTGAGGACACCCTGGTCTACACAGACTTCAATGGATATCTAGAACTACTGGTGAGACCCTGTCTCCAAAAATAATTAATCAATTAGCTAATTGATTGATTAGAGCTGTAGAGATGGCTCAGCTGTTAAGAGTGCTTGCTGCTCTTCCAGAGGATCCAAGTTCAATTCCCAGCACCCACATGGTGGCCCACAACCCTCTGAAATTAATTACTTGCCCTCTTCTGGCCTCTGTGGGCACTGCATGCACACGGTGCACAGACACGTGTAGTTAAAACACCAATACACAAAAAATAATTTTTAAAAACTAATTAATTATGGGGCTTGAGGTTTGCTCAGTAATGGAGCACATGCTTGGCCAGCTGGAGACAGATTACAGATTTGAGCCCCCATGCCTAGTTTAAGTTCATTAATTTTCAAGTCAGTTATGAACATGGACTATTAAGATATTCCTTATGGGGCCGGGCGGTGGTGGCGCACGCCTTTAATCCCAGCACTCAGGAGGCAGAGGCAGGCGGATCTATGTGAGTTCGAGGCCAGCCTGGGCTACCAAGTGAGTTCCAGGAAAGGTGCAAAGCTACAAAGAGAAACCCTGTCTCGAAAAACCAAAAAAAAAAAAGAAAAAAAAAAAAAAGATATTCCTTATGGGAGCTGGAGAGATGACTTAGTGACTGAGAGCAGCGGCTGCTGTTCCAGGTCCTGAGTTCAATTCCCAGCAACCACATGGTGGCTCACAACCACCTGTAATAAGATCTGGTGCCCTCTTCTCTCTGATACCCTCTTTTGTCATGCAGGCATATATGCAAATAGAGCACTCATATACATAAAATACATGAATAAAAAAATGTTTAAACCCTTTTTTTAAAAGATATTCCTTATGCCAGACAGTGGTGGCACACACCTTAAGTCCCAGCACTCGGGAGGCAGAGGCAGGCAGATCTCTGAGTTCGAGTCCAGCCTGGGCTACAGAGTGAGTTCCAGGACAGCCAGGGCTACACAGAGAGACCCTGCCTCAAAAAAAGAAAGAAAGAAAAGAAAACAACAACAACAAAAAGATATTCCTTATGATTTTCTACAATCCTATCAAAATCTAAAGCAAGTCACATGCTTCCTCTTCCAGGAGAAAAAATAAAAGACATATTGAAGTCGCGCTCAGGGAATTGGCCCCTCTCCTTTCTCTGTGCCGGCCGCTCTGCTGCTGCCTCCAGGTCTACAGCTGAGGCACCCTCTCTCCATCTCACTGGCTGCCCTCTGGCCTCGGGGATCCTCATTCTGAAACAGTACCCCAGATGTGTGACTGACTGTTTACACAGGGTGTTTGCTCCTGGTGTCTCCCACAGAAGGGGGCGGGTGGTAGCCATTTGGCTCCTGGCTGTAGCTCCATACGTAAGCGCTCCATCTGCTCTTGCTTCCTTTAATGGATGCACATTCTTCCCACGGAGATTGGTACTGTGCCCATTTTAGAGAGGAGAAGACTGGGGCTCGGCGGGGTCTATCAGGGTAGGGTACCATCCGCATTGGCCTCACATTTTGGAACGACCTACTTCCTTACATTCTGCACTTGAGGCTTGTCTCACTCTAGCCCCATCCAAAGGTAAAGGAAGCCATGAAGTTGGCAAGTGCCAGAAACTAACTCTGCCCCGTCTCAGTCCACCCCCCCAGCCCTTGCTCCTCACCCGAAAGCAGTGCTGGGGAAGGCTGTATGGTCCTCTACCACCATCCCCACTGCCCACCCCCGCCCCCACCCCCACCCCCAGCCCAGGACAACCCTAGTTAGGTATTTCCTACGCATGCATGATGATGAATGCAGGCATGAATGAATGAATGAAATCCCACGGATGCACCCCAGTGAGTGGCTGCTCGGGTGGAGAGATCCAGGGTGGGGGGGGGGGGGGTGGAGCCTCTGCACACCCTGTCAGAGCACCTGGAAGGAACTTAAGAAGATTTCGAAGGCCAGTTTGGCTAAGCGCAGGGCGCCTTCAGCCTGTTCCTCCGTCACGGGAGCAAACACCACCTCGTGGACACCCAGCAGGGGCACCAACGTCAGCGTGGAACGAGCCAGCCTGGGAAGAGAGGGTGTTGGTGGTCCCCACGTCCCTTCCCCTGAACCCGGCCCCATCTGCCTCCCCGCAAGGGCCCTCACCTTAGTCGGTAGTCGGGGCAGCGCATCTGCCGTGTCCTCAGCTTAGACACAAGGATGCCCAAGATGCGGATGAAGATGAGGAAATTGATCTGTGAGGAGAGAGAGACTGAGCCAGAAGCCATTCGGTTTTGGGGTGGGACGGGAGGTTGGCGCTCCGCTTCCCCACAATGGGAAATCCCTGAGCACAGCCTGGAGGAGGCGAGACTGGCCCTACCAAGATGGTTATTAGGATGGGGGTGCGAATGATCCACCAAATGGCTTTGACTTCGTTGCGCTCCCAGCACCTGGAGGAGGCAGGGTAGAACTGAGATGCACAATTCCCCCCAGCCCCCAGCCACACCCAATCAGGCAGGCTCCCTCGCCAGGCCCTGCCCACCTTCTTTAAGACCCACCCACCCAGCTTTCCAGGAGGCCTCCTAAGCCACCTTTCCCGGCGCCAAGTCCCTTTAGACCCCGCCCACATTCGCCGCAGGGTCCCGTTCCCACCCTTCCCCCCGCCCCATTCCATGTAGCTCCGCCCACAACCCAGGCCCCGCCCCTAGACCCTGCAACTCACTGCGTGTTCTCGTACAGGTACCTGACGATCACCCAAGGAATGACGAAAAGCGCGGGGGCCCCTGTGCAGACCCCGATCCCCGCCCCCCACCCCCGCCGCAGCTGTCAGCGTGCACACGAGCCCCTTCCAGGCCCAAGACCCGCGGAATTCCTCAACGAGGGAGTAGGAGGGAAGGCAATGCGGATCGGCGGGGCAATGGGGAGCCGAGACGCGCTGGGCTGGGCAGAGGGTGGGAGGGCACGGAGTCAGGCCTCACCCCAGCCAAGAAGCAGGTAGCAGCGGAAGTGGCCCTTTTCCGAGCCTCGCACGATCACCAGCAGATGGTGCAGGTACACACCCTCTACCAGCAGCCAGGTGTAGTTGGCACCCCACGCAGTACTGGGTCACGATCTGAGCCGCGCGGCAGGCAGCTAGGGCCTAGGGAGACATCAGACAAGGGAAGTCAAGGCAGAGAGGTATCCCCAAGCCTTTCCCCAGCAACCTTGTCTCTTTATTTTATTATTTATGTGTGTTCCTTTGTGCAGTAGGGCTTGAACCCAGGGATTCCTGCTTGTTAGGCAGATGCTCTACCACTGAGCCACACCCCGGCCCCTCACTGGGGGATTCTAGGCAGGGGCTCTACCACTGAGACACACCCCCAGCCCCTCACTGGGGATTCTAGGCAGGGACTCTACCACTGAGCCACACCCCCAGCCTCTCAGTGGGGGATTCTAGGCAGGGGCTCTACCACTGAGTTACATCCCATTCCCCTTCTCTTTGAGTCAGAGTCTCACTAAATTGTCCAGGCTGTCCTTGAACTTGCTCTGTAGCCCACTTGAGTCTTAAAATGTCAATTCTGTTCCAATTCCCACATAACTGGCACTACAGGACTTCCTGAGTGAGTTCCAGGATGGCCAGGGCTACACAGAGAAACCCTGTCTCAAAGAAAGAAAGAAAGAAAGAAAGAAAGAAAGAAAGAAAGAAAGAAAGAAAGAAAGAAAGAAAGAAAGAAAGAAAGAAAGAAAGAAAGAAAGAAAAAAAGAAAGAAAGAAAGAAAGAAAGAAAGAAAGAAAGAAAGAAAGAAAGAGGAAAGAGAGAGAAAAAAAAAACATGCCTTTAATCCCAGCACTCAGGAGGCAGAGCCAGATGGATCTCTGTGAGTTCGAGGCCAGACTGGTCTACAGAGCGAGTTCCAGAACAGGCACCAAAACTATAAAGAGAAACCCTGTCTCTAAAAACCAAAAGAAAAAAATAAAATAAAAAGAAAAGAAAAGAAACAACAACAAATTAAATGCCAAGCTATGTGACCACAAAGACCTTCAGGAGTTGGTTCTCTTTGTCCACCATGTGGGTTTCAGGGATTGAACGCAAGTCATCGAGCTTGTTAGCAGTGCCTTTATGCATTGAACCATCTAGATGCCCTTTTTGTTGTATTTAATGTGTAGAGGTGTTTTGCCTGCATGCATGTCTAAGCATCACACGCGGATCAGAAGAGAGCATCAGATCCCTTAGAACCGGAGTTACAGATGGCTGTGGGCTGTCCTGTGGATGCTGGGAGTCAAACCCGGATCCTCTCTGCAAGAGTGTTCAGTTCTCTTAACCACTGAACCATCTCTTCAGTCCTGGATGGCTCTTAATCTTTCAATTCTCCCAGTACTGGCACAGGTACTCAATTACTGAGCTCTACCCCAAGACTCTCACATTTCTCCCAACAATTATTATAGTCCTATGTTTACACCTCTGTTCATCTCCGCACATCCAGGAATGAATTGGTACCTTCCAAATCCCCCTCATCCATGTCTTCCTCCCATCCTGCTCCCATACCCTCAGTACAGTGATGAGAAAAGGTATGGAAATAGATGGAGAACTTCTTGGTCCCACCAGAAAGGAGGAGATGGAGTACCTGGTTCCACAGGGTAGGAGTCTGGTCCCCAGCGTAGGGCCCAAGTGGAGGAAGCAGCCGGTCTCGGGTGAGGATGGCCACTGCCCGCAGCATAAAAGATGTGAACAAGTTCATGTGAATGTAATTACGAGTGCAGTGCAGCCGCCTGGAGGATTTGAGAGACAAGAGGGCTGGGGGGCCCCTGGAGAGCTCTCCTCAGTCATCCAGAGTCCCTCTGACCACCCTCCACCCCTTCCCCTGGAGCCGCCCCATCCCCCAACTTAGTGTGTAAACTGAGGACTGTGTCTCCAGCACACCACACAGGGCTGGGAGTCTCACCTGAACAGACTTAAGATGAGCAGGGCTAGCAGCAGAGCGGCCAGGGACAGGGAGTAGCCGACTGTATACACGACCTGCAGGTGCTCCAGGATCAGCCTTTGGTCCTGGCGGGGACATGGAAGGCAAGAGAAGATGTGACTCTCCGAGCTGGCCCAGAGTAGGAGGCAGGGATGCCCAGCAGGCCTCCCCTCTCCCAACAACCCATTCTCCTCTGGGAAAAGCGCCCCTTTGTTTTCTGTTCTTGCAAAGTGAAGCACTCTGATTTTTTCCTTGAAGTACTTTTTTAAGTGGGGTTGACTCCATGCTTCCCTTCCAAGGCTAGGTGTACACACACACACACACACACACACACACACACACACACACACACTGTGATTAGTAAACAATGTGGGACTATGACTCAACACAGGACAATGAGCACTGGTCCTGGGATGTGGTGTAAGGATTAACGAGTCAGGAATGGCAGCACACCCCTCAGGAAGCTGAGGCAGGAGGAGTGTCTCTAGCTTGAGGCCAGCCTGGGCTACAGAGTGAAACCCTGTCCTAACACAAGCAAACACAAACAAAAAACCAAGGCTGGAGAAGTGGCCAGCGGTTAAGAGCACTGCTCTTGCAGAACATGAGGGTGAGGTCCTCAGCACCCACATCAAGTGGCTACAACTATCTGTAACTCCAGCTCCAGGGAATCTAACACAGCTAACTTTGGGCACCTGAACACACACAGACACACACATGCACACACAAATACACACACAGACACACACAGACACATATAGACACACACATACAGACACACACACAAATACACAAATACAAATACACACATATACACACAAACACACACAAATACACACAGAGACATACACACACAGACACACACATGCACACACAAATACAAATACACACATATACAGACATACACACAAATACACACACAGACATACACACACAGACACACACATGCACACACAAATACACACACAGACACATACATACAGACACACAAATACAGACATATACAGACACACACATACAGACACAAACACAAATACACACAGACAGAAACACACACACACACACACACACACACACAGACACACAGACTTTTTTTTTCTTTTGAGACAGGATTTTCCTATGCAGCCTTGGCTGACCTGGAGCTCACTCACTATATAGACCAGGCTGGTTTTGAGCTTGCAGAGTTACCTGCCTGGACCTCCGGAGTGCTGGGATTACACATACATAATTAAAAGCAATAAAATAACTCCTTTAAAAAAAAAAACAGTGGCAAAGCCAGGCATGGTGGCTTTAATGCCAGCACTCGGGAGGCAGAGGCAGGAGAATCTCTGTGAGTTCAAGGCCAGCCTGGTCTACAGAGTGAGATCTAGGACAGCCAGAACTAGACAGAGAGATCCTGTCTCAAAATCACACACACACACACACACACACACACACACACACACACACACACACAAAGATGTCAAAAGGTAAAGGCGCAAAACCAAAAAAAAAAAAAAAAAAAGGTAAAGGCGCTTGCCGCATAAACCTGATGACCTGAGTTCAATTCCTGGAATCCCCAGAAGGGTGGAAAGAAAAGAACTAGCTCCACAAAGTTGTCCTCTCACCTCCACATACACACTGTGGCACACACACACACACACACACACACACACACACACACTGATAAATAAAGGACTTTAAAAAAAAGAAGTCTGACATTAATGGGGTTACCTCTTCTTGATGCCCCACAAACAAAAAACCTGAGGCCAACAGAGGAAGACAAGCGCGCTCTGGTGACAGAGACTGTGTCGTTTGAGCACTAGGTCTTACTCCACCTGATACTGTCGTCACCTTACGGTATAGGTCTCAATCTCAGAAATGGGCACACGGCTCCTTTTTCTGCTTCAAGCAAGTCTGAGTTGGATTTTAATTACTAACAACCCAGAGTTCTACTCAGTACAAAGCGGTGTGGAGTTGTTGGGCCAGAAGCTCCGGAGGTGGTGTTTTTTGTTTTTGTTTGTGTCTGTGTGTTTGTTTGCAGCTCTCTCCAGACACCCTGACCTGGACCCTCCACCTCGTCTCACCTGAAAGGTCCCGTTCTTCTCTGGATTCTCACACTGAGTGTGATCTCTCCAAGACCCCCACTGGCCATCACTGCCACACTGGCGGAAGATGTAGCCTGCAGCCACTATGGGAGCATGAGGGAGGGGATCAGAGAAAGAGGTATGGAGTGCTTCATCACTGTAATCCTGACAACTGGGAGGCCGAGGCAGGAGGATTGCCATGAGCTCAAGGCCAGCCTGGGCTCAGCAGGCAGAGTCGCTGGTAGCGCTGGTGGGACCCACATGAATACAGTCCTGTATGTTGATCTCTTATCGTCACGCCCCATAGCACGCGCGTCCACATATACACACAATAAATAAAGTCAGGGAAAGTGGATTGTGTGACAGAGCCCAGCAGACACAGACATCAGGGAATACCAGGCTTGACAGACAGGGTCACAGGACAAAAAGGACCAGGAGGGACTGGGTGAGCTGCCCGAGTGCGGAGTCCAGGGTGAAGGGTACGGGAAGCGCCTCACCGTGGCTGTACCAGGGCAGATACCAGGGGCAGGATGCCCGAGCAGTGGTGTTGGCGGCCGTGTAGTCCCAGCAGACGTACATATCGAAGGACCCGTTACAGACTATGCCTGAGGGAGAGGGCGGCGGAGCCAGAGGCTGGAGTAGAGGAGCGGTCCTCCAGGATGCTATCCCCTTAGAGGCCACAAGTTCCTCTCACCAGACCTCAAGCCCATCCGTCCTCCAAGTCCCACAGCAGATACCGCAGGCTCCTCCCACCAAATCTAGAGCTCAATTATCAAGCTCCACCCAAACCCCGCCCACTGTAGTGCAGGTCACGCCCACGACCCCTCCCACTTCTCTGCCAGGGAACTTGCCCTCTAGACCAGGCTGGCCTCGAACTCACAGAGATCCGCTTGCCTCTGCTTCCTGAGTGCTGGGATTAGGGTTCTCCTATTCAGCTGAATCCAACCCAGGACCTCGCTGCCTACCCGAGCCAAGCCGCACCCACAGGTCCTCGAAACCGCCCAGATTTCCTTCTTTGGCTGCCAACTCCTTCTCTCTGCCCCCTTCCTCCTGCTCGCCCAGCCCTCTAGCCACACCTGAGGGTGGATCTGCAGCCTCCAGGGTCTCCTGGCACTCCCGGCCGTAGCGCTCCCAGCTCTGGTACAGCTCCCTCGTTGTCTGCTCCTCAGAATCTGTCTAAGAGAAAAGGGAACGGAGGACGCCCCCCCCCCCAGGAAGACCCCTCCCAGGCAGCAAGCTCGGTCAGAGATTTGGAGGGAGCCGTTCAGTTTTTTACCCAGGACTCCTGGGTGGCTTAGAAACCTTTTAGATGGAATTGGGGTGCCTAGAAAACCACCAAGGGATCTGGTATGGGAGATGGCAGATTTGGAGAGCATCAGAGAAGGGTGGTGGCTGGACCCCACCGGGAGGACTTGTGAGGGAAAGTGTGAGTGGAAACTACCAGACTGCGGGCAGGGGCGGGCAGCCTTAAAACGCTCCTGGGGGTGGGGGAAGGCTTAAGAGCCTCCCAGACCGCCCACCCGTGTCTCTCCAGGTCCTCACCCTCCGCCCTCTGGAGTGGCAGTCCCCACAAACACAGAAGCAGAAGCCTCAGGAGCATCCTTGAAGGGTGATGGAGACTCTGGCCCCTGGGAGGCAGTTGGGTTGGAGGGTCCCAGGGCAAAATCAAGACCTCAGCAGCCTCGGCCAGTGCTCACCTGCCAGAAAGAAGCACATGGAGTCTGAGGCCACCCCCATTTCCGCACGTGAGGACTTGGGGTGGGGCAGGACTAGGCGCGGCCTCCAGGGGTTAAGTGGGGCTGGGATCAGCTAAGCGATTCCCAGGCCCTCCTAAGTGTTGCTGAGGCAGCCAAGGTGGAAGGGAGGGGTGTTTGCTGAGGGGCCTGTTGCCCTAGAGCTGTGATGGGCAGACGTGTCAGTGTCACCCAGAGGGCTAGACCGGAGAGACTCGGGAACCTGGGACCTCCACGGGGTGGGGGGTGGAATAGAAACCGGCCGTCAAGTCTAGAAGGGAACTTGAAACAGCCGTATGGGTTCTCAGCCCGAAGTGTTTTTAAATTAGATAGGTACCCATCTTCTAAAACTTTCCTGGCTTTGAATACGTATATAAAACCCAGAGCCAGAGGGACAGCATTCTCCCAGCATCCAAATACTCAGGAATTAGACCCTGGGTTTCTGACTTTAGCAAGCGAAATGCTCTGAAAAATTCTTCTAACCGCAACCACCATCCACCCCCACCCAGACAATGTGAAAGCCGGGTTTCTAGAGGGAATCTCAGGGCTCCAGAAAAACAGAAAAAAAAAAAAAAAAAAAGCAACCAAACAAACAAAAAACAGAGTCAGAGACGGGATGAAAACAGAAAGACTCAGGGACAATGAGACCTCTCGCAGCAAGAGATCAGAGACCAAAGGGGGGGAGGAGACAGAGACAAAAAATGTGGGCTCAGAGACAGAAGTAAGTGGGGCGAGCGAGATAGAGAGAATGGGTAAATAGAAATAAACTCATCTAGAGAGTGAGAGAGGTGAAGGGAAAGATGACCGGGCAGAGAGAGAGAGGCAGAAAGAGACAAAGGGAGAGATAGAGAGACAGAGACAGGGGAGAGATGGGCCCAGGGCAGGGGCTTGACGGGGACCCCTTACCTGTGCCCGGTCCCGCTCCCAATCTCCTTCTCCTGCCAGGGCTGCCCTGCCTCGCCTGCCTGAGCTCTGGAAGAGGTGACGGGCGCCGGCAGCCTGGGGTGCTGGAGGGGGCGGGGCCAGAGCGGAACGGAGCACAGGAGGGGGGAGCTCTGGGCATGAGTGGGAACTGGGGAGCAGGCACGTTTATCACAGCCACTCTGTGTCACGTAGGAGCAGCCGCACAGTTACGGTCCGGCCCTCCTCCCCCTTCCCCCAGCCACAGAACGCACCATCCCATCCAGCCGCTGCCACAGCCTCGCCCAGGATCCCAGACGCCGAGACTCATGGAGTGTGACTCTGTGAGTAACAGGTTCGTTCACAGCTGTCTAAGTGGGACCGTGCTGAGGGAGGCAGTCTTTCACCCGCAGGGACACGCGGCTGTGTGCCTAGGGCCGTGGACACGTCACATACGAGCAAACACACACACAACCTGGCATCCCATAGTCCTAACACCGTGACCTTTCTGTTGTCATTCTTTGGTGCATGTGTGTTGTGTGTGTATGTCCATGTGGACGGGTATGAGGGCCAGAGGGCAACCTCTGATGTCATTCTTGGGTGCTGTCTAGTTTTGTTTGTTTTGGTTCTTTGAGACAGGGTTTCTCTGTGGAGCCCTGGCTGCCATGGAACTCCCTCCGCAGACCAGGCTGGCCTTGAACTCAGACATCTGCCTGCCTCTGTCTCCTGAGTGCTGGGATGAAAGGGGTGTGCCGCCACACTTGGCAGGTGCTGACTAATTTGTATTCGTGCCTGTGTGTGTGTGTGTGTGTGTGTGTGTGTGTGTGTGTGTGTGTCCAAATGTCCTCATGTGGATGGATGCCAGAGACCAACCTCTGCTGCCCTTCCTCGGGATCTGCTCACCTTTCTTTCTCATATATATGAGACAGTGTATCATTGTGTAGCCCTAGCTGCCTGGAACTCACTCTGTGGACCAGGCTGGCCTTGAACTCACAGAGATCTGCCTGCCTCTACCTCTCCAGCACTGGGATTGCAAACACACACTACCCAGCTTTACCTGCTGCTGAGGATCAAACTCAGGCTCTTACCCTCGCGTAGCGAGCATTTTATCACCCGAGGCATCCGTAGTCCCAGTCCTTAACTTGTTTCACTTTAATTTCACCTGCGTTTTGCTTCACGGATGCATGTGCACCACATTCATGCAGTACCCAAGGAGGCCAGAAGAGGGCACCGGATCTGGAACTGGAGTTACCGATGGTTGTGAGCTTTCCTGTAGGTGCTGAGTACTGAACCCTGGGTCCTCTTGGGTCCTGTAGAATAGCAACCAGTGCTCTCCAGCCCTGTTTTCTTTGTTTTGTTTTGTTTTGGCTTTGGTTTTTCGAGACAGAGTTTCTCTGTGTAGCTTTGCGCCTTTCCTGGGACTCGCTCTGTAGACCAGGCTGGCCTCGAACTCACAGAGGTCCACCTGGCTCTGTCTCCCGAGTGCTGGGATTAAAGGCGTGCACCGCCACCGCCCAGCTTGACAGTCTTACTATATAAACCAGGTGTCCTCCAACTTTGGATCCTCCTGCCTCAGTTCTTCAAGTGCTGAGATTCAGATTTCAGCTGCACAGACATGTGCAGCCACATCGGCTCCCAGGAACACTGTCAATAAACAGCACACATACCCACAGTCAATTCAGTGTACCGTGTCAGACTAGCTGCCACTAGTCTGTCTCCCAGGAGGACATTACCCAGAGCAGGACCTCAAGCAATGAGTGTCCAGGACACACGTACTTGTGTGTGTGATTCACATGGCCATTTGTCTCTCAGACCAAGCTGAAAGTCACACACAGCGTCACACACACCCACAAACACTGACACCTGAGACACACATCACACAGTGTCACACACATCACACAGTGTCACACACACCCACAAACACTGTCACCCGAGACACACATCACACAGTGTCACACACACCCACAAACACTGTCACCCGAGACACACATCACACAGTGTCACACACACATCACACAGTGTCACACCCACCCACAAACACTGTCACCCGAGACACACATCACAGTGTCACACACACCCACAAACACTGTCACCCGAGACACACATCACACAGTGTCCCCACATGCAACAACACATACTCCTCAGGAATCACCGAATGCATGTGCTCTCATCTTCACACCGGGTGCCACATAGGCACGCAACCATAGCATTGTTCCATCCACACTCACAACCCACAGACATTCCACGTAGGTTCCAGGGATGGAGCGTGTGTTGTCAGACTTGATGGCAGGCACCCCTAACCACTGAACCATCCTGCTGGCCCATGTCATCTTTTTTTCCATTTTTTCTTATTTTGTGAGAAAGGATGCTCTATGGCCCAGGCTAGCCTTGATCTTGTCATCCGGCCTCCAATGCCAGCTGCTGGGCGTGTATTGTACCTAAGGGTCACCACTCACAGCTTACATGTGTCAAGTATGTGACCCTCCCTGGTCCCACAGCCAGTCATACAGTTACCTGCCCACACACTGTGATTCCCACTGTCACACATTGACACGCAGCAATCTTGAAGTGGTCCCACAGTTACAGGAACCCATATATCACCCATGCTCTTACGATCCCTACTTCCGGGATCTCCACTCTAGATGTAGGGAACATCTGTCCGTGGAACTTAGGATGGGGAGACTTGGAACCCAGCATGAGAACTCAGTGTCGACATCTCCCCCTCAATCCACACCACTAGTTCAGGCTGCTCGCTTGCTCCCCTGGGATCTGTGTGAAAAGTGGGACAGAGGCAAGCCTGCCCATTTTGCAGAGGACAAGCTGAGGCCCAGAGGCCCCAGGAAAGGCAGGGAGTGGCCTGAGGTCCACATCAGAGGCAGGGAGCAGAGAGCATGGGGGGGGGGGGGGATGAGGGTCCTTACCGCCTGGCCTCTGGGGGCCTCTGTGCTCTCTGCTCCACATTCCTGGAGTCCTGTGGATCCTGGGAAAGTGTCTGTCCCTGAAGTGGAGCATGAAGGGGGTCTGAGATTGAAGAGCACCTCATGGACAGCTGGGGTTGGAAGAGCCTGCTGGGCTTCTAGAGGGCACGAAGGTCACTGGACTGGAGAGGGAGGAAGAATGGCACAGAATGGTAAGAGGGGCAGGAAAAGAACCGGAGACCCAGAAAGATAAGAAGGGGAGAGAGACCGGGCGGTGGTGGCGCACGCCTTTAATCCCAGCACGCGGGAGGCAGAGGCAGCCGGATCTCTGTGAGTTCGAGGCCAGCCTGGTCTACAGAGTGAGTTCTAGGACACCTGGGGCTGTTACACAGAGAAACCCTGTCTTGAACTCCACCCTGTGAAAAAAAAAAGACGAAGAAGAAGGGGAGAGAGATGGAGGGAAGAGCTTGGAGTGTAGACTCAGGCCTGTCATCCCAACATTGGAGCAGGTTGAGGCAAGAAGATCCTGAGTTTGAGGCCAGCCTGGGCTGCATAGTGAGGCGCTATTTCAGAGAGAGGTGGGGAGAGAGAAAGGATGGAGGATGAGGAGGAAGAAGAGGAGAAGGGGGAAGGGAGGAAGAGAGAGATGAGAGAGGGTGGGCCTGAAAGATAGTCTTGAGGGGGCGGGGACCCCCGGCTCCACCCCCTCATTGAGAATCTATAGTAGTACGGTGCCCATGTTCCTGTCCATCACCCCTTCCCCACGAACTTGTAAGCAACACTAATGAAACTCACTGAAACACAACAAAGAACCCCACACAGCATGCAGGTAGAGGATGAGTCGGAAACAGGAAAGAGGTGAGCCAGGAGACAGGGTGAAGACAATCAAAACACATTATACATACATACATACATACATACATACATACATGTATGTATCTCAATGAGACTCGTTGTGTATTTGCTAAATAAAAATCTCAAAAGGGGGCCCGCGAGACGGCTCAGTGGGTAAGTGTGCTTGCGTGCTTGCCCCCAAAGCTGACGGACGGACGGACGGACGACCGGAGCTCAGTCCCTGGAACCCACACGGTAGAAGGAGAGGATGGGCCAACACCCACAGGTGGTCCTCTGACCTCCACTCGTACACAGCAGCGCACATCCACACACACACACACACACACACACACACACAGACACACACACACACACACACACACACACACACACACACACACAGATAAATAAATACATGTGTGTGTGTATTAAATTTCCAAAGATGTTCCTGAAGACAAAGGCATCCTCACACCCTCCAGGCCATTGTTCACTCTAGGTGGACACAGGGCAGGCATGTAGGATGGGAAGGCAGAGGAGGGAACATCTGTCTAGGTCCTTGACTGGCTCCTGCCCAGCCCTGTCCTCTGTCTAGGGTCCCCGCAGTCTCTGGGGACAGGCATTGAAGAAGCAGCCTGGAGCCTCCCTGGCTGCTCAGCTGCTCCCAGGCTGCACCATGCCGCAGCCCACCCTTCACCCGCCCCGGGAGACTCAGCCCCTGACTACATTCACTCTGGCTGCTTTTCCAGCATACTTGGCTCTTCCGGTCTCTAAATATAGCCTGTCTCTCCCAGCCGCCAGCCTATCTCCTCCTCTCTCTCTGCTTGCTCCCTCTCCCCTCCCTCTCTCTTCTCCCGCTCTCCTCCAAATCCCTCCTGTCTAGTGCAGCCTGACAGAGCATCAGTCCCAGCACTCTGGAGGTGAGGCCTAGCTGAGCCCTGTGAGTTCAAGGCCAGCCTGACCTGCAGAGGAAGTACCAGGTCAGCCGGGGCTACAGAAGGAGACCCTGTCAAAAGGACCAAACAAACGAAATCTCCCCTTTCTCTTTTCCTCCAACCCCACATTCAGTGTTTCTGTCTTTCTTTCTTAATTTAGGCGATTTCCTCTTCCTTCACGTCTGTCCTCATTCAGCTTCACAGGTCTTTTCAATCAGCCTTCCTCTTGTTTCGAGCCAATCTCTTCTGCTTGTCTTCTTTGTGTATTTATTAATGCTGTTATTGTTATTGTTATTGTTCTGGTCCTCATGCCTGCCAGACAAGCACTCTAACAGTGTACCACGCCCCCAGCCCCTCACTGGGGGATTCTAGGCAGGGGCTCTACCACTGAGCCACACCCCCAGCCCCTCACTGGGGGATTCTAGGCAGGGGCTCTACCACTGAGCCACACCTCAGCCCCTCACTGGGGATTCTAGGCAAGGGCTCTACCACTGAGCCACACCCCAGCCCCTCACTGGGGGATTCTAGACAGGGGCTCTACCACTGAGCCACACCCCCAGCCCCTCACTGGGTGATTCTAGGCAGGTGCTCTATCAATGAGCCACACCCCAGCCCCTCACTGGAGGATTCTAGGCAGGGGCTCTACCACTGAGCCACACCCCAGCCCCTCAC